TTTTTTAACTCCGAGCTGTGGGTGGAAGGGTGGGCTCGGGCGCAGGTTTTTCGTCACGACACGTGGCGAAAAGCCTGCGCACATTGTAAGTACCTCCTATTCTAACTTGCACTCATCTTTCTCACAATTTTTTAACTTACATATTAGACTGTAGTAATAGTTTGTCATTTTTTTCAATTTTACCAAATTTAAAAGAAAGTTCTTCCAACTTTCTTTCATATCCCTTGCTTTTTTTCAAAGTTTGATATGCGAGTGCAATTTTAGAATAGGAGGTACATGTAGGGCATTTAGAATATGTAACAGTATGTGTGAGTGCGTGAATGTGTCCTGCATCCTCTACTCACTTATAGGACCTCTAATACTCTTTCTGACTTTATTTCTAGCTTCAAAGCTTTCAAGATTCTATTTTTTCCTGTCTCTTACTTTATTATTCGGTTGGTTTTTAATACTTGTACATTGATTTCAGTTTCTCTTTCATTTTATGCGTGAATATTATTTGGAGTGTCGAAATTTTTGGATCACCTCGTCATTTCTATTCGGTTCTGAAGTTTTTAATTTCTTGACAATTTTATTTGTCTTTTTATTTCGGAGTTGAGATTTTCAACATCGTAATTTCTTGAGGATTTTAAGGTTTTCAAAATCTACGATTTCGATTTTTGAAGAGTTTTGTTTCGGAGGGAGATTTTATTCCTTACTCTTTCAATTTTTTGCCATAATTGTTTTTGTCTATTTCAGGTTTTGATTTCAAGTAAGTAATTTATTGATTTATGTTTGTCTAATTCCTCTTTGGCTGTTTCAGATTTTTATTTCAAATTAGTAATTTAATTATTCATGTGTGTCTAATTATATTTGTCTGTTTCAGATTTTTATTTTAAGTAAGTAATTTAATTTTTCTTATGTGTCTAATGCTATTTATTTGTTTCAGATTTTTATTTCAAGTAAGTAATTCAATGATTTATGTTTGCCTAATTATATTTGTCTGTTTCAGGTTTTTATATTAAGTAAGTAATTTTGAATGGTTAATATTTGTCTCAACTATTTTTGTATGTTTCAGTTTTTAACTTTATGTAAGTAATTCTTAATAATTCATATTTGTCTGTTTCAGGAATTAATTTTAAGTAAGTAATTTATTTTCTGTGTCAATAAATATTCGTTTGTTTCAGGAATTTATTTCAAGTAAGTAATTTATTTTCTGTCTTAATAAATATTTGTTTGTTTCAGGTTTTAATTTTATGTAAGTAATTTTTAATGTTTCAAAATTTGTCTTAATTATTTTTGAATGTTTCAGCTTTTAATTTCAAGTAAATAATTTTTAATGGTTTATATTTGTCTTAATTATTTTGGTCTGTTTCAGATTTTTATTTTAAGTAAGTAATGTTTCATATGTGTCTAATTACATTTACTTGTTTCAGATTTTTATTTTAAGTAAATAATTTAATTATTCATGTATCTAATCACATTTTTATGTTTCAGATTTTAATTTTAATAATTCATGTTTGTCTTAATTTTATTCAGACGTTTCAGGTTTTTATTTTAATAATTCATGTTTGTCTTAATTTTATTCGGATGTTTCAGGTTTTTATTTTAATAATTCATGTTTGTCTTAATTTTATTCAGACGTTTCAGGTTTTTATTTTAATAATTCATGTTTGTCTTAATTTTATTCAGACGTTTCAGGTTTTTATTTTAATAATTCATGTTTGTCTTAATTTTATTCAGACGTTTCAGGTTTTTATTTTAATAATTCATGTTTGTCTTAATTTTATTCAGACGTTTCAGGTTTTTATTTTAATAATTCATGTTTGTCTTAATTTTATTCAGACGTTTCAGGTTTTTATTTTAATAATTCATGTTTGTCTTAATTTTATTCGGATGTTTCAGGTTTTTATTTTAATAATTCATGTTTGTCTTAATTTCATTCAGATGTTTCAGGTTCTTATTTCAATTAGGTAATGAAATGTTTCATATGTGTCTTAATTACATTTTTATGTTACAGGTTAAAATTTTAAATAATTGTATATGTCCCAAGTATATTGCATTTTATTTACGTATTTTTATCGAGTCGACTCGAGTTTTATTTCACTTTTATTCCGAAACTGTTAGCATGAATTTTTCATGTTAGCATGAATTGTGCATGCCTGAACATTATAACGTTTCTAATCTTGCATGTGCTTCTCTATTTCTTTTTTTTATTGTTACTTCCAATTATTGTATAGATAATGAATCGGTCATCATTGAAGACTTCCTTCGAGGGACTTCATCAACTAATTTTAAGTAATTTTAAGTTAATTTTAAGTTGCGTCTATTGTAATACATTGTAGTGTGAATGAGTGTACGTCTGAAATGCGTATACGCGAAGATTGAAGACATCGATCATCGAGGGATTATCGAGGAATCTTCGAGGGATGAGTTCGAGGGATGCGTGCGTTAGTTTTAAATTAATTTTATGTGTGAGTTAGTTGTAAGTTAAGTATGCTCGTGGGCGGGCGAGTGGGTCCTTGTAAGTGCCTCTTATTCTAACTTGCACTCGTCTTCTCAATTCTCAAAGTGCTTAATTTTCTATGTTAATAAAATTTTATCTGTTAATAAAATTTTATCTGTTTCAGCATTTAATTTTTCGTTAGTTCCTACATTGTTCTCTCTTCTCAAATTTCTGTGTCAGTAATTTTTGTCTGTTTTAGAATTTAATTTTTGCTAATTTATCATATTATTTTCTCCTCCAAATTTTTATGCTAATAAATTTTTGTCTGTTTCAGAATTTAATTTTTGATAAGTTGAAATATTGAGTGTATTAGTTTCATGTTGATTCCGAGCTTGTGGGAGGAAGGGTGGGCTCGGGCGTAAGTTTTTCGTCACAATCTGTGGCGAAAAGCTTATTTTTTAATGCCTCTTGTTCTACCTTGCACTCATTTTCACAATTTTTCAACTTTTTACATTTTAAAAATTTTTCACAAGTTTCACTTTTAATTCAATAGTGTATTCTTATAACTTGATTGAAACATAAAAGAAAGTTTGAAGAACTTTCTTTTTATTTCCTTCATTTTTCTTTCATTTAATTTTACCTTATACGAGTGCAAGTTTAGAACAAGAGGCACATGTAGAGTCTTTAGAAATTTTAATTTGTGTGATTGAAATACAATTGCAATTGTAATTTTATTTGTTAAATGTGTTAATGCTTTTATTTTCAGGTTCGATGTTTTCAGACAGTATTGAGATTTTGTTTTGTTTTTTAAGGTTCTTGAATCTTTCGTTATTTTTTCTTTTGGGTTCTGAAGTTTTCAAATTTTCTATTGTAGTATGAATAATGTGTGAAATGTGCATAGGTACACGAAGATTGAAGACATCGATCATCGTGGGATCATCGTGGGATCCGTGCGTTAGTTTTAAGCTAATTTTATGCGTGCGTTAGTTTTAAGCTAATTTTATGCGTGCGTTAGTTTTAAGTAAAGTGTGCTCGTGGGCAGGGCGGGTGGGTCCTTGTAAGTGCCTCTCATTCTAACTTGCACTCATCTTCTCAATTCTCAATCTTTGTACGCGTTAGCTTATAATATACTCAGTTATTTTTTGTCAATCGTTCCGAACCCAAGTGGATCATTGGGGGTTCATAGCGCAGTGAACACGCGGCAGAGGTGAGCTGCAAGTGCTGGTGTAGCGCCAGGGACACATCTCTGCGGGGCCGATCGATCGATGAACCATCTCGATTTGCCGCCTCACGGCAGGGGTCTCCTCTCTGCGGTCAGACTTGCCTCAAACGCAAGCGGGGAGAAATGGGAGACCCTCCGCGGATGTGTCACTCGTTCTTGCCAGTATTTTCGGTTCATCTCTGTCTCGTGGTTCACGTAAGCCACTATGGACTACCCTTTGACCCATGGAAGGCGAGGTTCACTTGGCGAAAAATGCTGATCCCCTTTTTGACAGAAAGTTCTTCTAACTTTCTCTTCTTTTTGTCAGAAAGTTCTTCTAACTTTCTTCCCTTTGCTTTTTAAATTCGTCATAGATCATATGAGTGTAATTTTAGAATGAGAGGTACCGTGCGGCGTTTAGAATAAGTTAAGCGTATGTGTGTGGGATCCTATGCGATTAGTATTAAGTTAATGTATGTGTGCGTGTGTGTGATACAAGTTCTTTGCTGGATTGTGGTAAAGAACTTGTATATGCGAGCCTATGAGCTAAGTAGAGTCAGAACTCATTTATCCTTCCGATAAATGAGGTTGCATTTGGAGGGTGGTAGGGATTTGGAGTTAGGGTGGGTCACTATCGTAGCAACCTCCACGTGGTGTGACCTGGTAATCGATATCGTTTTCTAAACATTTTTATAAAACTGAACTTTAGAAAGCGATATCGAGCTAATAGCTACGAATTAAATTATAATTTTATTTGTTCCACATTTTCTTTTACGAAAGTTTTTAAATCAAGTAAACATAAATTACAAGTTCCATTCTTGCAAATCTATAAGATTTACAAATCTTAGAATAAAATGAAAAACTTTGCAAAACTAGGTGACAGCAGATAAGACGGAAACCTCTGGTTGTACAAACGAGCGGGAAATTTAAATCGTGCAAAACTACTTTAAGGTCAGTCTCTCGTAATTTGGAATACATTTGTAATCAATTTTTTGTACATTACTAATATTATTTTCTCAGGTATTTTTATCGATTTTACGACCTGGGAACGATAAAAAAGAAAAGAATATACCAAAGCTCTACGAAATACATTTAAAGGGTAGGTATTACGGAAATGATTACTACAAATATTTTATAAGAAAATAAAAAACTTTATTTCACAAAAAATTACAGGTGCATGTGTTACAGAGATATAATAGAATATTTAATACAAAAATTGGTGAATATGCAGGTTTAAACTATTCTTCTTCGACCGCCATACTTCAACACTATGCGCGTGCGCACCCCCGCTTCTTTTGATTTTTGGCATTTAAATTGGTTGTGTCTTCTGTCTCTCTCTAAGAGGTAAGTTTCCTTGTCTAGTGTTATATTTACTCTTCTTGTTATATCCTCTTGTAATATATACTCTTTGGAAGCGGTAAGATTGCAGTATGAGCCTTTTGAAGTTAGTCTAGTTGCGCACATTTGACATGATATTTCGTGGCGTACTTTCATGAGAAACTTCATTGTAATCGACATCTAGGTCAACACTTGTTTATGGCAAAAAAGTGTAATGAAGTACTGTGAAAACAAAGATACAGACAGGTTAAGGAAATTGAAATATTTTCAACGCATCGTTAATATAAACTTATCTAGCAATGGAAAATAGTGGTGAAAGTGGTGACGATGGAGGACCCTTAGGCACAACTGCATTTCTTGGAGGAAGTGGCGTTTCTGCATCGTATATCAGTGTACAATCAGATGACATGGAAGGTAGGTTAAGGATGTTTTGACAATATTTTGTTGTAAACGTAAATAAAACATAATTATATAATTCTTATATTTAACTAATTTGTAATAATTGACAATTTCCAGTGTTGGTGTATATCATGTAATTATTAGTTCAATACGTATTTAATAATTTTAGATGTTAGTTTTACAAATTGATGATCATAGAAAACTGAATTATGATTTTTATCTAGATGATCCTGAAAACACAGATGATTCAAATCATGGAACAAGCGATCCTTTACAAGGTACTGGAGGTACCGGTGGTGGAGGTCCCCTTCGTGAACAGGATCGATTTCTGCCAATAGCAAATGTTGCTAAAATTATGAAAAGGGCTATACCTGAAGCAGGAAAGATAGCGAAAGATGCACGTGAATGCGTTCAGGAATGTGTGTCTGAATTTATATCATTTATCACGTCCGAAGCAAGTGATCGATGTCATATGGAAAAACGCAAGACTATTAACGGTGAAGATATTCTATTTGCCATGACGACTCTTGGTTTTGACAATTATGTAGAGCCACTAAAAGTATATCTACAAAAGTATCGAGAAGCTACAAAAGGAGATAATCCTCCAGGAAGTGGTACAACAGCAGGCAATGGAAAAGTTGAGCCACAAGGAACTATATACGAAGATCAGTTGTTTGCCATTGCCGCGACTGCTTCTAATGCTACCACTTCTGATACACCTGTCATATACAGTTACACGTCTACCGATCAAATGCAATTCCAGCTTTCCTGATCACTGCAGGTCAAAATGATATTACTATAAATTATTAAAATACAAAATGCGATTCGTGAAAACAACTGTCTTGACCGTCGCATATTTTTTTTCACGTACGATTGTGTTTTACAAAAGACTGTAAGATCAGTTGTTGACGGTAAGCTAAAGTTACATCATAAGAATTAAAGTGTGAATGTTGCAAGATTTTGGAGAGGAAAATGAAATAAATTTAGACAATTCTTTGTAAAGAAAATACAAACGTGGAAGGAAATAAACCAGGAAGAAGTTAAAGACTCGTTAGTAATTACTTGTTTACTTTTTTAAACACGGTAGGGGTAGAAAAACATAGCCGATCGTTTATTTCACTATTGTTTTTAAGCGCTAGATTTCGCATTTAACTAAGATTAGGCTGTGATGGTTTTTTGCGAAAACGGTTCAGGTCGAATGGAAACAAGATATTCTATTTTGGACAAGAACCGGCAGTTAATCAGCGTGTAGATTCTCGTAGAAAACGTTCATAATGGTGTTTTCACTCTGGTAGTTGGGCAGGAGAGAGCAAGAGCTCGTGTGCTTTTGTCGATGATGATGCAGCGCCACTCGAAGACATGGCTGATTGTTGTCGCTGTTGTTGCGCTGGTGACAGAAGTGAGGCGGTAGGCAATGTTCCAGCTGGGCGTGCTTCCGTTTTCCTCACTTTTTCCTTTTTGTCAGAAGCAACGTGGCAAAACCGCCAGCGGCATTGGCCGCAACGACATAAACAGAGGCAGAGCAGCACCCGAAATAGGCAACACAGTAAACCGGCGCACAGTAGCGAAGGACCCACCAGCCTCAATTCAGGACTGAGGAATCCTTTCTCTCCAGTGCCGACAAACGAGATAACTAATCCGAGCGCTGTTGTTCCCAGCCCCGCATAAAGTACGGTATTCACTGCCGCACTCACTTCTCCTCTACGACGGTTTGCGTTACTGCTTCCATCTTCTTCGTCATCTTCTCCACTGCTTCCGTAGCAATAGCTCGCGTCTCTTATCTAAAAACAATAATAGTACGGAATGAAGAACATTTTAGTATAGTATATAAAAATAGAAACTATTAATGCTTTTTAATATTAGTTGATATAATTTGCTTAAATTTCTGTGTTAAAGTTATATCGAATAAGCGCTCGTTTACCCTGTTTCTTTTCATCCATCGTCGATGAGCCTCGCATTGCTTTGTCTTGTAGCCATCTCCACGGCATCCATGAGGCGACATAGGAGATAAAGGAAGGGGAGAAGGTCTGCTGCACCCTTGCCATGCTGCTTTACCAGGTCCTCCACCACACTGAAATTATTTTGCATTCAGGTATTGTTATCGTAAACATTTTTAGCAACTACGGTTGAGATCATTCAACATTTTAATATCTATCAAATCTTTAGATGCTATTTACTTTGACTAAGATAATTCTGACCAATCTACAGTATAGAATACTTCTTAATATGTTTCTTTATTCTATGGTAAATATTATATATGTACTATTATACAAAATATAAATAAATATAAAACATAAAAGCATTATATAATAATTACTTAGTTTACATCTTTCTCTATCATGTGAAACATTTTCTATTATTTATGTACTATCTTAGATACTTTTAATTAATACGTTCTTTCCTCGTTACCCAGCACATAAATAATAATATAAAAAACATGCATGCACGTACTAAACAAAATACAGAAAAATTTTTATACAAAGAACCAATCGAGACATGTATAAACGTTTATACGTACATGTGTCGTAGAACTTGTCTATACAAGTGCACTGTAATCATTGCATTCTGATTGACAACAAAGAATTAATTAAATATAATTAGTAGCAATCGTTAACCATTAAACGTTGACTACTGTATAGTGCACATGGTAAGAATTACTATCTTCCATACCATAATATCAATCTCAAATGCATGATTTTTATTTCTTTCACATTATATGTAATGGAATCACTATGAATCTTTCAGTCAAATGTTTTAAAGACTAAATTAAACTGATTTAACGTGCATTTCTAAGATGAAAATAATCTTTGTCTTTATTTTACTGAAAAGTTGATATAAAATGATAAAAAGGTATATCAAACTGGAACTCTTTTATTCATTTGGATCTTCAACTTCTTTTTAGTGATTGCATCTTTTTCTTTTTTAATAAATATGTAACAAATATAGAAAACAGTCATCTGTTCTATGATAAGAGAAAGTAAAACAGGGATAAACATCAAGTATACGCTACAATATAATATTTTTTTCCAGAAAGAGGTATATAGTTGATGCATAGATAATCAGCTAGGGAAGCAGCAGTTACCCTCTGATGCCAATAGCTTACTGTTGCTGATACAGCATATCGGAACAGTTGATACTTACCCCATAAACATAAGATCGTGGGGGATATCGCGGAAGCGGCGGAATAAGTCTGGTGGCCAAGTTGGAGGGTAATTCTCTAAAGTTCACCACCTTACCCCCCCGTAACCGTTGCTTCTCCCTTCTAATCAATAAAGCAGCCTGCATTCCGCTCATTCATTTGTTAATGTTTTTGATCATCAAGATCTCTCTCTACCGTCCTTCTCCTCCTCCTCTTTCTCCTTTCCAGTTTTTTCTTTTTTTTTATACACCTTATAAGTTAAACTTTTCCTTTTCCCTTCTGTTCCCCAGTCAAAATAACCACACCAATTTCTTCTCAAAGCTTCCCCAACCGTGATCGGTACCAGACACTACAACTTACTCCTAACATCGTACTGTCTGCCTCCAACATTAGTAGGTGCTCGTATCCGCTGGTAGGAACCAGTCGAGGCATGTTAATTACTAAAAGAAAATTACAATTGATGGATAACCAGCTGACGAACCTGTAGCCGCTCGAGGACGTGTTATCGCGGGGCTTTACATACGCCACCAGACAGCCAATCGATGGTGTGTTCCTAATGTATAAGTAAAGGTGTGCCAGCAAGAGAAGGTGCAAAGTGCAACGAGGATTATTAAGTACTTGAACAAGGACTGCGAGTAATAACGTGATCGGGTACCTATAGCAACAGCGACTAGTGTGATAGAGAAAGAAGAGAAACAGAGCTAAAAAAAGATAGAGATATATAATGAAACGACCCTAGGGCAATTAAATTACCGCTGAACAATCTACCCACCTGTAGCTCCAATGAAGATGGCGAAACTCGGAGATCAAGGATCGATGGTGGCGGGAAAGGGAAATTATTGGATTTAGTGGCGCAAGTAACCGAACTAGGCGATTCGAGAGACAACGGTGGTGGCGATATCGGAAACTGGATCGGTGAAACAGGTGCAACCTGCTGACACTTCTCGACATGACGCCGTCGATCGATGCTCGGATGGAATGCAGATGACGGTGGTTGTGGCTGTGGCTGTGGCTGTGGTGTGGAAGATGGTGGAAGAACGTGCGGACGAGCAAACTTGCTGGGATGGTGGTAGTGGTGCTGAGAAGAAGCTGCTGGAACCGGCTTCAACCGTGCCGGGACCGTACCCTCGGCGACACGTTTGTTAAGCTGCAATCTTTTCTGCTTCCTCCTGTTCGCAATACTGGCGCCACCCGCAGCTGCGTACATTGCTTCGCACCACGATTATACTCTTCCCGGTTTAACGCCTTCGGGTCAGGCGTTCTTCCTGTTACGAGTTTAGATCCCTTTGCATCGTCTTCCTGTCTTTTTCCTCTGGAAAGGCAAGAAACGTGACGGACATCCGCCCGCTATTGGCGGCCGTCATTCTAATCTACCGACTAAATATTATAGCGGAAAGCACATGAAAAGCGTTTCATTTACAGCTGAATATTTGCATATGCGCATTGGTTACAAAAAGCTGCGTTATCGTATAGGCAGGGCTGGCCAGAATCTTTACAGGGATATAAATATAAAACACCACAATTTTGGAACACGTTCAAATTCCAAACAATTTGAACCTTGATTATCTCCCGCCGACCCTGCGTACAAGAATTAAGAACACAGTTACTAAATGCTGCAATTAAAAGTGGTTTGAGCATTTAATAATAACTCTGCATTTGATAATTGTTCACTAATTTTTTATCAAATAAAATAGATTTTGTAGAATGGAGGGAGTTCAATGATACTTAATTTTATAACACTTCTATTTTATAGAATGTATATTAGTTTCTTTCTTTAAGCATGGAAAATGTACATTAAGAAGAATAAGGTACTAACACTATAATTGCTAAAAGCATAACGTGGAACATGTATCTATATTGAGGTATGCAGGTACAAACTAAGAAATATAAAAAAGCGATTTTATCGCAATTTATTTTCTTTACAGAAAGAGGAAATTGCAATTCTTCAAAATCTGCTTTAAAAACAACCTGTCATAAATAATCATTTTTGTTAAACATTTTGAATTTAGGTAGAAAATGTATATTCACTAATTAATTAAAAAATTACGTAAATAATTCACTGACTTCTACCTACGAGTCCTCAAAAGCTTTCCGAACCGAACATTACAAGGAGACCTCTGCATTGACACCTTTCTGTTCAGCTTCTTGACCCGTCAATGGGTCAAGTAGTTTCGACACGAATGTAACAAATCGAAAAACCCTCTTCTTCCTCATTGTTTTATACCGTGACACGTTCTAGTTATCCCTTCTTATCCTACCCTGACATTTTCCTTTTCGCCCTTCTTCCCCTCCCGCGCTTGATTACGTTCATTTTCAGCGCCCTTCTGCCGTCTATCTTTGCCTTCTTTTGTCTCGTCCTATTCTTTGTCTCTCTTTTTGATCTTTCTCCATTACCTTCGTTATAAGTGTCGAATAAAATGAACCATTTTACATACTCTTGCCCCGGGCCCCGTGTTTAAACTTCCAAATTTAAAAATATAGTAATTTACTTAAATTCTTAATTCTGAAATGTCTTCATTTGTAAATATCCGAATTTAGAAATTTCTCAATTTTCAGATTTTCAACATTACAAATTTCCAAACTCATTTATAAAGTTCTACACTTTCAAATCATAGTGTAAAAATCATCAGATTTCCAAATTTAACACAACTTTTAAAAGCGTCCATTTTTATCCCGGGACCCGGAAACTCCAGCTACGGCTTTGGTTAAAGTGGACTGTATAAAATGAGCCGTGTGTAAATACCACGTACTATATTTTACATGAAATAGTAACGATTCTGGTGATAAATACATTATTCGATACTCTAACTTCAATACTGAAAAAGAAAAAGAAAATAATCAATTATAATACACCTGCATATACTTAGTTCATGTAAAAAAAGCAAGTGAATGAAGGTAATTACCACGTACAACATATCTATGTACCAAGGATAGCAACCAAACAGTACTCATGCAGTGGTACGTGCGTGCTCGAAGCAAGTGAGGAGGGTATACGAAGCCAAATAATACATGAAGTCCCAGTTAAAAAATAAAAAGAAATATCGAAAGGCCAACGGGATCCACGATGAGCACGAACTCGACGACGGTTCGTTCTACTCGATTACATCCTAAAAAGAAAAAACGAAAGACACACATGAAAAAGCGCGTAAAAAAATAAAAGGCTGACTGGTGGCCAACGAGCACATCGCATTTATTATCTTTCCTCTGATCTCTCTTTTTTTTTTTTTGAGCTCGCGTTATGAAAAACGCGCAGTGTTCTGTACAATTAAATGACGACCAACGACGAGGACGACGACGACGGTCAACAATGAAGGCTACATTTGTTTCTTTCTCTCCCTCTCTCTCTCTCCCTCTCAATTAACACATGATCTTTCTCTTTTGTTCCCGTTCATTTCGCATCGCTAGCAACTGCTGCAGCAACGTCGGCGACGGTTCGACGGCGACAGCAATAGCAAAGCAGGCATCAAGTCAGCCAGCAACACCAAAAGGCTGCGCGTACCAACGACTCAGGGTTAACCACTGCACCGTGTACCGAGAATTGCCTCTCTTTCTTTCTCTCCCAGCGCCTTCCTTCGATTACGTGGATGACATTTTCCTGCTCGTCGTGCCTCTCTTTGTCCTACTCGTGCACTTTCTCCTTTTTGTTTTATTTTTTTTCTTTTTTTTTTTGTATGGAAGCGAGATGCCAAACTACTACCGTTAGAGGGACCGCGCGCACACAGAAGCACGGACACGGGGGGGAATAGGGGTGCGCGAAGGGGATACGCGGGACACGAATATCCAGGACACGATCCCCGTGTACACACGGCGCGTATCACTTGCTCGTTATAATTAACGCAGCCTCCATGGTTATCCCGCACTTCGTGGACGCGCCCGTTACTACCGAGCAACCACCGACTGACCACCGTCAGCACCGCGCGGTTACTTCTTCACCCTCCTGCTCGACAACCCCTCCTCGGCAAATCCTCGCAAGCGCGTTACGTCGCTCGATTATCTACAGAGACGGAGGAATGTACGGGCGAAGGGGGCGACTGCCCGGGGCACCACTTCGTCAGCTCTAATAAAAAGAACGTAGTTTTTGTGGGATTATTCAAATAGAAAAATTGTGTGGGTAGCTGGCACGTGAAGTAGGAAGTAACAAAATGTAAGAATTTGGAAATTAAAAAGTTTGTACATTTAATCTTAAAATTTGGCAAATAGATATTTATGTATTTTAAGGATCTATGATTTTGAATTTGTAAAGTTTGATATTTGGAAACTTCAATTTTCTAATTCTTACATTTTGAGGGAATAAAAAAGTAAGAATAATTGAATATAAACCTCTTATAAACACATAATCATGCTTACCTTAGCTAATAGGATATAATTTTTTTATTGCATTTCTCCATCGCTCACAGAAATTTCATTTAAAAAATTTAAGGAAGGCCATACTGTGATTTCATCCAGGATCATATTTACTATGAGGCCGCCCCTGATTATGTACATCTTTGGTTCACTCGCCTTATGCAAATACCTAAACTTATTTAAATTTGAGACACTTTCGTGAGCCATATTTCCTGTTAAATGGGAGGTATAGGCTAAATAGGAGAACTATAATTTATTTGTTTTAAAAAGTTCAAATATTAACTGGTTTCGCAACGATGATTATCAATATTGACTTACTGCATGCGGACGCGATGACGTTCGATTTTTATGTGTAGCTCGAGGTAAAAGCAGTTATACTCGATGTATAATGAAATATTTCAGTTTCGAAGAAAATCGAAGTATCGAGTTAGATAAAATCATTAGTTGAAGTTATTTTTAGGAATACAGCAGGTGTTTTTTCACTTTACCGTTACAAGTAACAGGGTTCACATCGTAAGTCGTCATACTTGAATCGATAGCGAAGGAATATCTTTGCAACATGCATCGATTGTAATTATCGATCGTTTCGATATAGAATTCAGTTTACGATACTATTTTCTTAGAATTGGAAACGATTAGAATTTAAGACTTTGTATGATTTTGTAGGGTAGTGAATTACATCATATAGTGATACTTAACAGTTTAGTGATCAAATAGGACAGGTAAATTGGATAATGTACTACTGCATTGAAATGTTATGTACATCATGCAGGGTTGTCTTGCTTTTGCTACCATTATATCAGCCCCGTATTATGATGTCAAATTGGGGGTTATTACGATAAACTGGTAATAGTTCTTACGATTTTGAACAGAACCTTATTATGTAAGTATTACGATTCATTTAACATTTGAAATAGAATCAAATGTATCGATAATTGTGACTGACATAGATTGCACGAAGTATCTAAATGCGTTTGTATTTCGTTCAAATGGCATTGAACGTGTATACATGCACGATACGTATAAAATCACATGCGGGGTGGAACCCCTTACAGATTCTAGGACAACCCGCTTTCGCACTTACCCTCCCTTATACCCGCAGCCAGGTTACCTCGCCCTCTCGAGTTCCCCGAGTCGATATCCCGTGCTGTTTTTGACCTTTCACCTTTCTCACGTTACCCTGATTCTGTGGCTAAGGGACAACCTGCCTTATCGGCTTGTAACACTACCTACATTTCGATTACGCATACATTTACTGTCTTCCTACTTAATTATTCCAGTAACAAAAACATATACCTTGATTTACATTTAGAAAAATGTAAATTTTATCTTGAAGTCAATAAAATTAACCTATTCATAAGAAGGGTCAATATATTTTCTAAAATTTGTATTGAACTCGAAGTATCTAGGGATATTAGAAGCTTAGGTTAGAAATATTAGGGACTAGGGTTGTGGGTATAATCTATATAGATAAATAAATACAAGATTCTTATACAAATGTCATTTTATTAACGTTTTTAATGTTAATACACTTAACACTATGTATTAAAATGCCATTTGCAGTCAGTGTAGTACAAACAATTAAAATAACATAAGTATTCAATTCTTTTATCTTCGTTTCCTACCGCCTACTTTAAGCCGCATATCTCGATTTCCTTTTCCTCCTTTTGGTTTCTTTGCTCCCTTATGTTTTGTTACCTTTTTACCTTTCTTTGTTTTTGTTTCGTTAACCTTTGTTCTGCAAAATAAAAATATATAAATACATTGTACCTTTGTATTAATATAACTTTTCAAAATATTTAAAAACATACTTTGGTACAGACAAGTCTTCACGGAAAATTTTTGTATTACTTTTGAGAATGTTATCTGCCAAATCTGTATTCCTCTTTTTCTCATCTCTTATATTCAATGGAATAGTTTCAGCCTTTCTTTTCATACCTGGTACTTGTTTTGCTATACCCTTTGCATCTTTCTCTTTTGGTAACCTGTACATATTATATAGTGAATATCTGTGTGAAATTTAGTCCATAATTGATATTGGGATAACATGATATGTAAAATTACCTGTCCTGGAATTTGCCCACAGAGGCTGTGGATGTACGTGCAATAGTAATGGCCTGAGCAAGTTGTTTTGACTCAGGAAAATGTTCTCTAGTAGGAAGTCCTACTTGTGGAACTTTAATATTCTTTGCCTTGGCAATATTACGCAGCCTCTGCAGTTCATTCTTAGACCGCCTTTCTTCTTTTGCTACTTTAGCAGCAGCAAATGGGTCTTCTGTGGCTTTACCTTCATTATTTACTTCTACCAACCATTCTTTTTGTTCCAAAGCTGCCTTACGTTTATAACCAAATGTAGGTATCCATTTCTGCAAAAGATATCAAAGATATATATACTTATATACTGAATACATATACATATAGAGTAAAATATAGCTTATGTAAAAAACATACCTGTAATTCCTCATCCCATTGAAGTTTAGATTTACCTTTCTTCTTAGATTTAATACCTTTTTCTTTAGCAAATTGTTGCCATTTCGTTAATGGTTTTGGTTTTGGAATTTGACGAGATCGTGGTAAAATATAGTGAGGCTTAGGTAATTTTGCTACTATCACTTCATCAATGCGTTCAGTTGGGAGTTCCCAGATTTTATTAATTATTATCTGCACATTATCCCTTGTTACACTTTTTAAATATGGTTCCTGCTGACCTCTAAAAATTATATAAAAGCAGTTAACACAAAATAAATCTGCTGAAAATATAAATAAATGCATTATAAAAATAAATTTGTAGGTTACTTTAGTGCTTTTATATCCAAAGTGTTATAATCAAATGCTAAAAGAGTTCCTATATCTGTTTCAACTTCAACATCTTTCTGTACTACCGTAGATTTACGTGGATCTTTTTCTTGAGTATCATTTTCTAATATTGACTGTACAATATCCATGCTGTCACCCATGTTTCATATTTTGCAGTATTTTGGATTATGTATAGGTTATGTTATGTTGCGGCTTTTTTGAAATACGCAACATGTGAGGTTAGCGTATTTCAAAACTGTTAAAAACTTATTACAACTTCTAGTGGAAATGTTATTTTGCACGTTTATCAAAGGGAAAGAAGATCAATGTTTGTGTTTCTAAATTAGAATAACAAGTACTACTATTAAACAAATGTCGTGAAATGTTTGTTCTTGCAGAATTGAAAGACACAGTTAGAATTCCCCCATGGGAATTCAAACGCAAATTAAATGACGCTGTTACCGATGAACTTAATAGGAAATTGGCTAATAAGGTGAAATATTATATCTTAATGTAAATATATTAATATAATTTTACGTACAGAATTAGATCATTGTTAAATTGTTTCTTCCAGGTTTATCTCAATGTTGGTCTTTGTATTGCATTACATGACATAACAAAAATCGAAGAATCATATATTTTTCCTGGTGATGGTGCATCTCATACCAAAGTAATATTTCGGTTTATAGTGTTTCGTCCATTTATGGAAGAAATTCTAATAGGAAAAATACGTAGCTGCAGCGTAGATGGTGTTCATGGTAACACTTATGATTTAGAATAAGTTATACTACTCGTGCAAGTTTATATTTATAAGTTTCCATGTTCTTTCACAGTAACATTAGGATTCTTTGAAGATATTGTAATCCCACCTCATAAACTGCAGCATCCTTCTAGGTTTGATCAAATGGAACAAGCATGGGTATGGGAATATGATACAGGAGATGGTGAAAAACATGATTTATTTATGGATGCAGGTATTTGTAATGTTTGAAATAAACTTTGGAACTTTTGTTTGCTTTAATGTTTAAAGATAAGTAAATCAGTTGTAAACTTCAAAATTTGTAGGGGAAATTATACGATTTAGAGTAGTGAGTGAAACTTTCACGGAAGCGCTACCTACAGGACCAAATATGTCTGGAGAAAATGTTGAAAAATCAGAATCCAAAAACACATCTCCATACACTTTAGGAGTATGTACAACTAAACATTTAACAAAGTATTTATTGTAATACAGTGTTATTGTATAATTGTTTGTCCATATTCTAGGGTGCCATAGATGAACCAGGTCTAGGATTACTTACATGGTGGGAGAACAGCTAAGGGTACAAAAATAAATTCAGATCAATAAATTTTTATTTCACAGCACATTCCATCATGTTATCATATTTTCATTCTTAAAGTTACATCCGTGACTGGAGTCGCATGCGACCCGATATTAGATAGAATTTTCACTGTGCGGATATATTTATATTTAGTTTTGATTGGTAACAGAATTATTAATCATTATTTGTACAATATATACAAAGACATTATGTGCTAAACATGTGGTAACACGCAAAAAATAATTTCAGTTCGGTAGATTTCGAGGACATGCTGAACATTATTATAATAGGTTATTCGATAGTATTTTATTTGTCAACATAAAAAAGAAAACATTGCACCCGTTCCATTGCAACGATGGCATAAAATTCGTCCAACACCATACAGAGCGGTGACACTGGAGCCATAGTGTAACACTGATTCGTCTCAAGAAATAGTTAACGGTATTAAACACATAAAATACGTTTCTCTCTATATTGCGATACATCCGTTACATTTAATGAAAAAACATTCGAGAACTTAGCTAGGTGTAAGCCTTAAATATAGGAAACATTAATTACATGACAGCAGAATATACATAGGTAAAATATAAGTTAAAAACTTCATCTAGACAATACATAGATGTGCAATGATATTTAATTCTCCCCTCTTTTTTTCTTCACTATTTTTCATCAGTTTTCAGTTTTAATTTAGCAACACGTATCGTTGAACAAATCACGCGAATCGTACGACTGATAAATAAAAACTTTTCATTAAACCTGCATAATCGTAACCGGAATGTTTCTGCTCTTTTTTTTATTCTGCTCGTTTTTCTATGTAGCTCTTTTCTCGAAGCAACGCGTCTAACGCGTCGTAATCGCGATTATTAACATGTTGACTGCCACAGTGAAAACGTCCTTGTATAGCATGACACGCTACAGTAGCAATTACTTAGAATACAACCGTTTCATTTTTTTAATTAAAAGCTTTCCATTTGCTATCTGGCGTAACTAGTATAATATGAATGCTATCTAACAGTTCCTTTAATTTCTTTTCTTTTAATTATTCGGTAACGTTAAATTCATAGTGCCAATCACTGATCACCCCTATGGCAGTTAACATATTAAACAATCTTGAAGCGGGATAAACAACGCCCTAAACATAATCGTCGGAGTAGAACAATATACGTATAATAAAAATTTATCACAGTTCTAACTGTTTTTTTTTTTCTTTTTTCTTTTCTTTTTCATTTGAGGCTGTCGTGTCTCTCGTCGGACAATTCTACGTTCATCATCATTTTTTTGTTCTTTTTCAGCGAGAACCTACGAGTTAAACTGTCTCATCATTTATTTTTCCTATCATCAAGCGACGCGTGAAACTTTGTACAACATACACCGATGAAATCGAGAGGCGGATACCTGTTCGGCTTATTCGTGTCCGCTGTCCTTTCATTGCTGACGGAAATAACAAAAAGGAAACACTTTGCGATTTTATATCCTAAATCCAATTAGCGAAAGGAGGAGTGCAATTTGGTGATGGGAGCTCTAGCATTGGCGTAACTAGAATTTTTATCTAGGTTGGTCCAGATTCCCAAACTTTACAATTTGCGTTATTATGGATACACTGAGTTTATTCATTTTAGGAAATTGGAAACGTGGAGATTTAGGGATGTGGAATTTAGAAATGTGAAAATGAGATATTTGCGAATTAAAAACTTTCTTATATCCTGCATCTCTCATGCCAATAGGAGGCCCGATCCATCCTGGTTTCTATCTAGTTACGCTAATGAGCTCTGGTGTATTGAAAAAATGCCTATTCGCTACCTTAATATCGTGTTTACTTTTGCATGTTTAAGGGCTAGTGTTTTCCTTATTATTTTTTTGTCTTTTGTTCTTTTTTCCATCGTTATACAAGAGAGAAAAACGTATATCGCGTCTGGACGTCAATTAATAGCTTCTTTTCTATTCGTACGATGCATCCGTGGCTCGGTTTCTCGTACACCCTTCGTCGCTTTGAGTATTGCTTTACGTGAAACAATTTTGTTTTCGTCGTTTGGTTTCTAGGAATAGAAATTCGTCTGCGGCCTTAAACGCGAAGAAATCCCTTGGAGCTGCGCTGCTCCTTATACGATATCGTTTATTCGATGATCAAACAGCGAGGAAGGTGCTCGCGTAAATAGTCGAACAGTTCCTGAGACGTTCCTGGACAGTTGGTTAGCTCTAGCTCGTGCAAATGACGGAGCTGTATCAAGCTAGACAATCCGCTACTCGTGAGCAATGGACAACCTGTGAAGATTAATATTTTTCGCTATTTAATTTCATCTTAACTACTTGTGTCTCGGTTACAGATAATTACTTGATGACTTAAAGCATGAAGGAGAGATTAATGTAATTAAATAACTGAATGCACAGAAATTGAAAAAGGTTTAAATAGAATTTGTATAAATTGAAACATAACGGGACAGTGTACAGAGAATTTGTCTTAGATTGTTCTCACCTGCCACAGAGAGTACTTGTAAGGATTTCATGCCGCACAAGTGCTGAAGACCAAAGTCTCTAAGCAGTATGCACCATCTCAAGAACAATGCGCTCAGTGATCCCATTGTGGAGATGTAGCCCACGCCTATATCGGTGATGTGCACGCATCTAGGTAGAAAAATCAGATTTTAAGTTTCAGTAATGTTTGGATGTGTGATACTACAGCTCTTTGCGAGATGAAATTGTAATAAGCAAACGACGGGCCATTTTTCAACACGACACGAACGATCGTTTCACGATGATCATCGTATCATTAACGTCTCAATTTACGACAAATTGGCATGGACTTTCGAAGACGGAACGCCAGACAATCCGAGTCCTGTAATCGAGCCAACGAATACGTTTCAAATATGTTCGAGCGTCGTATATCATCGGGGCAACCGCTCAATCGGTCGCTTAAGCAGATTGCAATTCCGTCTCCTTAGACGTCTGAACGTTCCACGATAGATGATTCACGTTTATTGCGTAATAGCCGATCTTAAATAGAATGCTTGTTAACGCGTTCAGTATTTAGAACATGAATGAAGCGCGAACGGATCGTACGGATTCACCGCGGCTAAATGCCGGGCTAACGCGATTTAAGGTACTCGCTGTTTGCCGGCTGATGTCCCATTAAAGCAACTCTCACCTGTCCAGCGTAAGCTCCTCCAAGTGATTCAGATCACAAGCAATGTACTCTAAGGCTGCGTCCGTGATTCTTGAGCACCAGCTCAGATCTAATGAACGAAGCCTCGACAGGTTTTCAGCGATCAATTCGACACCGTCGTCCGTCACCTTACTGCATCCAGACAACGATAGGACGGTCAAGTTGGGTAACGAGTGCACTGAAAAGATGATCATAGAAATTTATTCTGCAGTCCACAGAAGATACATGGACATAAAAATTAGGAGGTTACTTAGGTTGTATGTTTGTGATTAAAAGTATGAACAGTATGTTTGATTTACCTACGTTTTAGGTTAAATTGGCGAACAGGAAGTGAAAGACTAAAGGTTAACGGAGCACGTAGGTGATATGTTCGTGGTTAATTAGTAGCTAAACGATTAACACTTCCGTTTGGAAATATCTCACTGAAACGTAGCCAGATTTTGCTAGAAATTATGCACTGTGCACATAGTAGACAAACCGCTGACCTTCAGAATGTCTACAAAGGATTAAGACCCACGTACCGAATGATTTATCATGTTAAGAATCATTATGCTATATGAATCCCACTGAAAATGTCCACGAATCTCAGAATGCAAAGTAGTATAAATAACGACATCCGGTCGTTGTCCTCGTAGCATCAACTCATCTAAGAACTTGAGTCTGAACGATCGCTGACAGCTTGAAAGCTAAATAAAGCTGTGTTCCTTAATTCTAAATTTATAATCGCCGGATACGTGTACCACCTGACTTAATTTCACGGTATCGTCATCACGTATTTCTACCTGGATTCATGCAGAACCGATGTCACAATCATTCCGTTTTCTACACGCTGCTCTCAACTTCAAGGTCTCGAGTTTCATTTCGTGGCTTTCATCTTGCACGTTTCATTCAATATTTCGAAGTAAATGTTCACTTTCTGCATCAGCGATCGTCCACCTACTCTGTGCCAGCATAATTTTAGTACTATTCTATCTTTTTATTTTCCTCTCATATGGTTATTAAAAATATGGATGGATAGATCTGATGATGTATCGAGGATGAATTTAATATAGGGATCTTGATGTAGCATGTATGTAACGTCAAATTGAATTTGTAGAAGTTGTTCAACGGCCTTTAATCAAGGATCGAAGGAGAACCTTACCGATATTGACCACACCATGGTTAGTGAGTTCCCAGCAGGATTGGAGCCTGAGGATGCTGAGGGAGCTACTTTGCGAGGCATGAAAGTAACTGAGGGCAGCGTCGGTTACGTGATAAGCTTGCAACGAGAACTCATAGAGACTCGGCAACAATTGAGCGACGGCACCGACGGCTTCATCGGCCACGTTGATACAGTCTGACAGTGAGAGCGATACTATTCTAGGTGTCAAGCAGGTCCACAAGCCGGCTTCCGTTATCTCGTTGCAACCGGCTAATTCAAGCTCGAACAACGCCTACAAATACAAATGCACAAGATTAAAAAGAATCTAGTATTTTTTGTAGAATAAGATAAATTAGACTGCAAGTACACAGTGACACAGACAAATTATAACATAAATTTCTTGCAATTATAATTTATAATAGTGAGAGAGTTTTGTACCAATCATCAGTTACTAGTAAAGGAATATCTGTAAAAAAAGCTTACTTGTAAATGATCTAAGAGGGTTTCTAAACCCCTATCGGTAACCGCGCAGCATCTTAACGACAGAGAATGAATGTTTCTCTGCGCTAAAGGGAAGCCATGTGTCAGATCAGGGATGTCTTCGTCCGAGGCACCCAGCAGGACCAAGGAATGGAAACCTCTCCTCACCAAAGACGCATAGAGACGCGTGCGGGAATTAGGAGGCAGAGCACGTATCTCGCGACACCTGATCACGGGCACCAACCCTGCCCAAAGTCTTGGCCTAGCATAAAGTATGTCTCTCCATCTTGAGCACACCTGCAAAATTACATCAGTTACTTGGTTTGAATTGTTATCCTTGGAAATACGATTCTTTGATTCTTTGTGCACGTGTTCGTTGAGTACGTGTACTGTGGAGATAACGGATAAAAATGAAGGTATTAGCTTGGACAGCGTGAAGAATTGCACTGCGTGTTACTGAAACTAAGTAGTAATTCCGACTATAAAACGGCAATATCTTTCTCACTATTCAAAACGAAGGTGCACGCGGCCAAGAGGCTTAAAGCCTTCCAAACAAACAAGCTAGTTAACGGAGCATCTCTCTCTGCTGTCTTCCATCATTTTGATTTATTTTACGACCAAGTAGAATCATCCTCCACCCATATGCGCGTCCAAGGAGATGACGATTGCGCAACTTTACAGCCACGTCAAGCCTCTTGTTCGCGATTGTCCTATTCGTGACTCGTTTGTGAAGCGGCAGCGGTATCAGGCTTCTTTTGGATGCTACCGAAACTTGTGGTATGTTATAGACCGTAATATAATTTGCAATTCAAAATGAAAATATGAACAAATATTTTTGTTTTTCAGAGCACTTATTTTTGGACATCTTTGAAAACCTAAAGTAGGTTTTGAATTATGATGAGTTTTAAATGTACTCTATTGTGTATGAAGTTAAAAATAACTTCTCAAGGTGTATGATAGCTGTTCAAACTCTTAGGATGAAGGGCTTTGGTAATAGAAATTGTTACAAAATATCTAGTAGTACTTAGAATACAATATTTTAGATTTGCACTTTGATACCTAACACGTTCATAGTTGCAAATGTGATCTAATTAAATCTTGCAATTGTATAAACAAAAAGTAACAATGGTATAATAGGCTTCATAGGTTAATGTTCGATTAATCCTTAAATTCAAAAAACAAGTAGACTTTTTCTCTACCCTAGTTCTTATCCAAAGGAAGCCTACATGACCCCCAAGTGTGCAAGCGATGAATGCCTACAAATCCCAAACCGTGAACGTGTTAAAACCCTTGAACCAATTCCTGTTCACGACTATATATATTTAATCCTATCTAGCTCGATATAAGTCAAGAACGAGTTAACATGAAGAGCTATGAAAAAGAAGCACATCGTAAGGAAAATTAAGAGCCAGAACCTGCGCCAAGATCCTCCTGTCGATGGCGGTGAAGTAGAGGAAGAATTTGCCAAGGAAATGATCATCTTGCATCAGTTGTTCCCACGTAGCGGGTGGCACGTAGCCTCCTGTACCACCGCTGGCAAGGGGTACGTTCTTTGGTCGGTTCCTCGATATCCTGGCCCTGCTGGGTGTGTTGCTACTATTCAGACTCTTGTTGTTGGCCGCTGGCATATTACCCATCGACGTTGGTACGCTCCTGCTCGGCTTTTCCGGGGTTGCGTTCGCATTGTTCGCGCTCTGCAAATTCGTATAGGCAACCCCTCCGCTCCCGCAAAACACGTTCGTAACGCGTTCCATGACGCTCGCCTTTCCCCCACCTGAAACATGCCATCGTTCGTACGAATATAGAGGATGTTTTCCTCTCTCTGGTTATTCGACACCATTTGGGACCAACTCGTGTATTAGGAAATGCGTACACGTATTTTATTGTTAAATTACGATCTTAAGGAAAATGTTCAGGCTACTCTATTTCCTAACTTTGCGAAATTTAAAGTACTAGAAGAATTATAGTGGTAGACTATTGTCATGCTTTTATAATTGTAGCAGTTGCGTTATGCTGTGCGTTATATTTTCATTTGTTGTATTTTACACGCTGCATTACGTACATTCTTATGCAGTTGCATAGCAGATAAATTGTCACGTACTACCACGCGTTCAACTGTTGTATTACCGCATGTTGAATCACCACGTAGGATCATTACGCGTTGAATCACCACGTGTTGTAATACCACGTGTTAGATCATTACGTGTTACCGTTCGTTGGATTACTACAGATTGTACTATACGCGGAATAGTACCACGCGTTCAATGATCATACGTTGTAGTATCACGCGTTGAATAACCACTGTACCAACATGCATTAGACAACAATCGACTTGTCAAATTATCACGCGTTGTATTTATCGTGCGTTGTACTACGTGTTGTTTTACTACGCGTTCTAAATGCTACAGTTTAGTGGCAATATAATAAGAGTCTACTGTTTGAAATAGAAAATAGAAGCCCCCTACTAGAAAATTAGTATTTCACTTCAATGATTTAGTTACGGATTGAATAATTTTGTTTGCTACTGTACAGTTATACTATGTTATACAAACAGTAAACTTTTTCGAAAGATATACATATATAAATAACGCGTATTGGTCGATGGAGGAACACACACGACCTTCGGTATTACGCATGTCACAGCTAAAGGGTTAAAATAGATTTATCACTTTTATTTCGACGTTACTTTACATTTTAGAAGGTTGACTTGGCGCATTGATTTTGCATTATTTTAATCGTCGTTCTTAAAGTGCATCGAAAGTTAAAGCGATAAAGGAGAATGATTTTGAGTCCTTACTCGAATATTCTCGAAACGTTTCTTCGACAGATAACTAGAACGATCTTAATTTATAGTCAAGAATATTTCCGTAATATTGTAAGTTTCTTATGCTCAAAACAAGGTCGTGGAAGCGTGTAAACGTGATCGAATCAATTTCCTTTTTCTTTTCTTTCGACGCTATTTTCCGCTGGTAGGATTGTATTGGCGAGCGTGGCATTAAAGTCGTTTCAGCAAAGGTAAACTCGGCAAAGATGCAGCAGTTATTCTCGTTTTATTTTCGATCTGTACGTCCTATTTGGCTCCGAGTACGTCTCTATTTCCTCTGTCTATCTCTTTATCGCGTGACGAGCATTTTTTCGCGAATTTTGCCCACCCACCCGTTCGCAATTAAACGTTTCCACCTCCGTCGTCCAACTACCCTCGTCAACCCTTGCGTTTCCCCAACTGCGTCGTTGTAAAATGAATAATTCCTTGATATCGCGAAAACATTTAAAATACGCCATATCCGAGACAAACACGGGAATTCAATCTTCGTTTAATCTGATATGCTAGCGGCTGCAAATTTATCGTCGGTGTATCGATCAGCTTCCGTAAATATTCTGGTCTATGAATTTTAATTAAAAGTCCCGTTGGACAGGCAAATGATTTCCAATCAAATCGATGCGAAAATATTTGTACTTCAAACGAATGTTATCGGTTAACGCAAATATTTTATTTGAAACTCAGGACAGAATATTGGGATTTATGGATATATGAGTTTAGGAAACTGGAGTCTAGGAATATTTTGATTTAGGAATACTAGAGTCGAGGTATCTGGAATATAGGGATGTATACACGTCTTCAGATACCGGAAGTATTAGAAATTAAAAATGTATGAATACGCTTCAATGTATCGTAAACACGTGTTACTGTATAACAGATTGTATGAGATCTTTCGAGATTCAAGAGGCGATGACGTTAACGCTTCCCGATGTCGAGTTTTGTTTAAACGCAAACAATGAACGTACGAAACAATAGCCCTATTGAGGCGTGAAATAATTAAAATTTACGTAATGAAGGTGCGAACAAATTAATCTAGCACGTTGACACAGTAGAAGCAGCCGTATGTGATACGGCACATAATAGGTTGTTGCTCGCGAAATGGTCGCTTTTAATTACAAATGTTCAACGACCGATAAAAATAATAAACGAAAGTTTGCGAACAATATTTTGTAATCAAACACGTTGCAAATATCGGTGATTAAAAATTGTATGTTTCAATGTAATTTATCGATGGAACTTTGTATCCTCCGACAAACATTTATCAAATTAACGTGTCACCGGCTGTATTTTCGATAAATATGTTATTCAATTATCAGTAGCCTTGATGGGGAAATACTCCGATTAAAATCCCTAAAACAGTTCAATTCAATTTGAGAAATTTAATTCATTATCTGCTGTAATTGACAAACAATCATTTTGCAGAACATCGATAAAAGTAATCATTTTTATCGAACTTTAAACTTCAAATTAATGTCACGAATGTTATCTTGTAGAACTTTTGTGTCATTTTATGTTTCGAAGTGTTCATTGTTTGCTGTGACTGATAATCAGTCATTTTCCGTGAAGAACATTATCGAAATAGTTACGTAATTATTTTCGTCGAGCTTTAAGCTTCAAATTGATGCAACGTAAGTATTACGTTCGGTACTTTTATGTCATCGAAACACGCAGCATTTGATATGCAACAATCTATTGACTTTAATATGAAATTACCACGTCTGCATTTATCAAATTCGTATCGTATCAAATGTACCATTGTGATCTTACAATTTCTGTGACATTCAGAAATCCCTTTGATTAATAAAGGTAAATTCATAGCATAAGTTAACGGTGACCTCCATTTGTAGTTACCATATTAAATTATTCATGTACATCAATATTTTGTATGCATTTACAATTATAAAACCCGGAGAACAATTTTACACGCGTACATTAATGCTAATTTCTTTCATATTTCAGAATGGAAATAAGCTTCATGGAATAAAACTATTTGAGACAAAAGGAAGGCTATTTCAAACGGATTGAGAGGAGCTAAAGCAGGCAATTTGAAGATCGGAACATCGATCGGAGCTGATCGCGACAATTTATTCGTCAGGTACCATTAAAAGCGGATTTTCGGTCGACGATCAGCGCAAAACGGATGATTAATTATCCTCGAGGAGCGTTGGCCCATCCTCTGCGATTTTATCAGCCAGTCTATGTGTTGGCGCCGATTCAGCCACCGTGATTGCCTATTTTACGCTTCAAAATAAATCTATGGCTGAATCTTCGAACAAGGAACCGTGTCGTTTTTAACCCTTTACTAATATCGAGTCACAAACGCAATTTACTCTGCATCGTTACATCCAAGGTATGCATAACATTTAATATAATTATAAGATAAACATTCGATTCTCCAATGTCGAAATGTGATATCACCTGTTTTATTTTAGGACTGTTTTGAAATTTTAAGTTTGGAACTTTGGACTCTGCGTGCTTTGGACTTTGGATTCTGTATTTTCAACTCTGGATTCTACGCTTTGTCGAATTTTGGAACTCTGGACCTTGAATTCTGAAGTTAGACTCTGTATTCTTTTAGCGTTAGATTTCAGAAATTTGAGACGAACCGCTAACACTAAATGCTCACTTATCTTGTAGGCAATCAAATTATCACGTGCGCTATTTTGCGACACACAAACGTGAAAATTCATGTCATAAGTACATAGTAACTATGTTTATGCATTTACGATATCAAGATGTGCAAAGTATAAATCATTTAATCTACACGTTGACCATCTATGACCTCGATGTAAATGTACTTTACAATTACGATACAATTCAAAAAGTTAACAATGCCACGTGAGTATAAAAATGTAACAAAGACTTTATTAATTAATGAATTTTCCATAGACTAAGAATTCGATGCACAGTTTCGTATATTTTCTTCCAGTTCGATGCTCTTCATAAGTCGTTAGCAAACGGCCGTACAAATATCGAATTACGATTAATAAGCGTCCAGATCAACAATGAAGAATACGAGGCACGTAGAAAATGAGCGAGAAATTAGGGATTAAATGGGACTATCGAAAAGAAGAGCCATGAGAGGAGATCCACTTGAGCGTACTCGCTTTTTACGTTTCCACGTGCACGAGGACGAATGGTATCGATTCCATTGCAGCTTGGATTGCGACTGAAAGCACCTGGTGGCCGTTTAACGACCGATCCGCGAGAAAATTGGTGTAACAAGAGGGACATGGTTTCGCTAGGTGCAACGAGCGATCGGGATACTGGGACAACATGCTCCGTAATGCAGAATTCGGTGAGACGGTCTTTGTATGACAGTCGAATCGATTGCTAGAGCTTGATAAATAACTTCGGAGTTTACAGTTGCGAATTAATAATCAATAATCTTGATTTATAACTCCATTAACAGTTTCAGAACTAGCAAACTGGAGTCAGTCATTAGTAAGTTTGATGAATAACTTATTTGGAAGCTTCAGAGTAACAAGTAAAGTTAAGTAACAATTTTAAGGTAAATAGTAATCTTGAGAGCTGTGGAGAGTATGTTCGTGCCTCACTGTGACTTGACATAAATTCAGAATCTCGATGTCTGACAGTTTCAATCGCGAATAATTTGTTTTCAGCAACGTATGTATACGTCGTACGCAGAATTAAGAAACGGTACGAGGAGCGGCCGGGGGTTGCGGATTCGACAGAAATCAATTCGTCATCGGGATTACGTAATGATGGGCGAAGAAATTCGTGAATCTTTCGGTTTCGTCGCTTCTTTGAAATTCTACCTCAAGAATGAGAGTTCGAGAGAGAAACGAGAAGACTGACGTAACTAGCTGGCCACGAGGATGACAATCGCGAGAGAGGAAAAGGAATAAAAAATGAGGCGTAAAGAGAACGAACACATGCTGGATCTGGGTTAGGGTCGAGTTAACTTCGGGTTAGGTCTGAACCAAATGATTTGGTATTGATTACGAATTATTGTCAGCAATACTGATTTGCATGAAGATCGAAAACTTTACTAAGCATAGAATTAATAAAAAAACGTTAAAGTACCATTAAAAAGATTACAAGTTACTTCAAAAAGAATTGTTCAATAAATCATATGTATGAGCAAATTTTAAAATAGTAAAAAAGTCGAATATTTATTTGCTTAATATAAGTACGGTATTTGTAAATAGCAAAAATAAATATTCTTTATGTTGAAGAACTATTCTTTAATATAAAAAATATTTCACGTTGCTTTTGCGTGCACATTACAATTTAATCGTGACTAGTGTACTAATTCTTTTAAATCAATACTAAGTTATAACAGAAAAACAGCCATCACTTTTGCATAAACGTGATATGTAGTGGAATGTTAAGCACTATTGACCTACATGATTGTTTTCACTGTTTCAATTTTTTTGTACGCACGATTAAATGAAATGTTTGTCAAAAAACTTCAAATACTAATAATAATGGTAATTTACAGACCATGATGTTTGGACGTTCTCAACCCCAGACCGTTGATTCTCTTGGTCAATTCAGCGCTGGCTCTTTCGACGACCCCTTGGGCTGATATCGAAGACATCTCTCAAGAAGGGGAGGCGCGCTCCCTTTGCTCAGCCGCGACTCGTAGTCAAGACGAACAGGGATCCGCGTGGCTGCGGTTGAAGCGTTTCATATTCAAGCGAAACTTCAACGAAACTTTTGCTGCGCCGCGTTCTTCCCCGTCCACGACAAAAGTCACGCGATTCTTCTTGCGTTGCACGAATCAATTCGACCTATTACCGCGAACGAAGGCGTTCGAGCGTCAATCTGTTCGTTGTATCCGACGCCCATCGAGATTTATTGCCACAGAGCGCGTGGCCGAGACGCGGAGCGTCGAACGAAAGCCTACAACCCCTTCGAGCACAGCGTAGCTCCGCACGACGCGCAATCGATGAAGAAACGTTTCGCTGGAAGGATCTATTTTAATCGACTGAGTCCATGGTGCCTCTGTTCGACGAGATACAACGGTGAACAAAAAACAAAAAAGAAATAAAAAATAAAAACTATCAACGAAAGAGTCACGAGCCTCTCACCGAGTTTATGTAACGAACTTGACCAAGCTCACTTGTAATACGCGTGAACGATAGAATGACTCTTTGCAAAATAATTCACGCGAATCGATAAGCATCATCGGCTAAGTGGATTCTATCGACAACGATTCGGTTTCTTCCTCGAACGCGCCACCTTAACCAGCTCGAAATGTTAGAACGCGGCACCCCGTGTTTCCTCGTGTACCACGATGTAACCGAGAGCTTTTTACCGCGGTCTCTCTCTCTCTGTTTATGTGTCAGTCATGACACCGAGCGGAAAACAAAGCTAGAAGGTGGAGCTGCTGCAACGGGCACAGTACATGGGGGTGGTTTGCGCGAGACTGAATCGATATTCGCGCTGAACTTGTCTGGCTGCCCCCCCACTCGAGCCACGCAACCGTACGGTTTCCAGGCGCGAACCACCTTTTTACGCCTGACGAGCGGTGAACCGTCGTACATGTCGCGACGCCTGAAACTATGCAAACCGCTCGATCGTGAGAAGCGTCATGTAACTTGTATATACGATGTACACTTGAGTGCAACTTGGGCTTGCTTGGAGTACGGGTAACGGGGAAGGGAGGATCTACTATCGTTACATTTCGATCTTGAGAGATAATAAGGATGCATTTTGACTAAACGAGCAAATGCGAATTCTTTTACTTCGAGAAAATTTTAATACAAATGAACATGCCCAATGTGAACAAAAGTTGTACATATTTACGATTCAATTCAATGCGATTTAACTCTATATGATTCAAGGGTGATTAATACCACTGAAAGAGTAATGAGAAATCGTATATTTTTTCTTTTCATTTTAGATTTAACATTTATACATCTTTGCGTTCGATGTAATTTCTTCCATCTTCCTCCGATGTAAAAAAAAGATCTTACTTACGCGATCTTAAGACCAGCGATGGAATTCTCCAAGAGCTAAATGAAACATTTAGCATTATCAATAAAAAATCTTGTTTGTTTCGATATGTATAACGAACATGGTATATGTTACAAGACTTTACCTTAAGATCCCATACTACGAGCTGACCGTCTAAACCGCTCGTACTAAATTCGTTATCCGACACTTTACGTACACAGTTAATCGTGTTCTGGTGTATACTATCCAAGGCATTATCATTTGTACCGCTTCGCGCTTGGCGATCTAACGATTGGAATTTACGCATAGCGGATAATCCGGCGGCTTCTTTCTTCTGAGTGTTATCTAGTTTAGATACAAAATATAATTGTCCATTGTCGTCTATGGAATACAGCATTGGCATACAACTGTGACCCTAAAAGAGCATATTTTAGTCGGTGGTCGTTTACAGGTTTTAGAAATTACAGGACACAGATAAAAATTTATGTAAATACCGCAGCAACAATAGAATTGGACCCCATCCAAACACAACTTAAAAATGGTAAATGCTCTGTATACAATCTTATAACTGCATTTCCTTTAGTAGCATCTGCTATACATATAGATGAATTATGTGCTACCCAACAAATTTTATTACCGCAAGGACTAAATGCAACAGAATGTATCCAGCCACCTAAATATAAATGGGACAATATGTACCAAACAACAAATATTATTTGCACTAAAAGAAATATAATTTACATTTTTACCTCCATTAGGAGTATTCTGGAATTCAGCAAGTAATCTTCCAAGCGAATTACTGTGACCCCAAGGACAATCTCCAGGGGCATCTTCCATATCACTAATAAATGCACTAAAAACACGAACTTTATAATCAGTAGAACCAGCAACCAAAACCTTATTGTCTGGATGCCAATCAACGGTAGTTACGGTGGATCTTAAAGGGCGTTTGATGTGTTTACATTGCCACCAATTATTCTCTGATACGAAGTAACAAACAGCTATTACTCTACCTCCAGATCCAACAGCAAATTTATTTTCTATAAAAAGTAAAATTAGTTTAATCTTATCTAGAACAAGTTAATGATGCAATTTAATTTCTTTACTCTCCTCATGTATGACTTTTTTTGAATACTCATTGTTCAGAACACATAATTTTATTAGAAGTTTTTGATATTATTGCCAAATGGTTAAACATTAAAATGGTTAAACAAATGGTTAATACATAATTGTGTCTCATACCTAATGGAGACCACTTCACGCACGTTGCAGCTCGATTTATTCTTAAAAGCACCCATGCAGGATTCCATTTTCCATCTTCTTCCTGTGTCCAAACATATGCATTTTTATCTGCAGAACACGTCACTATTCTATTGGTATTTGGTGCCCAGTCAATACCCATAACATGCATATCATGTTCTTGCAAGTTTTGTAATAATTTCCAACCACTCGATGTATGTTTATGAACTTGAATCTCATTATTATTTGGACAAATAGCAACTTCTGTAACATACGTGTTGAAACTGTTTATTAATTCACAAAGGAACTGTACGAAATTGGGCAAAAGTCATACCTTTTCTGTCTTTATTCCAAGCATGACAGCTAATAGCATCAACACCCAGGCTGTGAACTTCCGTCATTTTGTCAATAATTCTCACAAAGGTTAAATAAATTTACATACGATATCGCTTAAAGAAACGTGCGATGCTGTAAATTATCTTTATGAATCACCGCACCTATCACTCAAAAACGGGTGCGGTCGATTAACACATAAACGGCTACTCGTTTTTCGCGTTATTCTCCAACTGTTTTTGGGCAAAAAAGCAGGAGTTATTAAAGTCTTTAAAAATTCTCTGAACATTTTTTAATAAAGTTAATTAATAGTGACACGGTAACAATATCACGTTTACGGAAACATTTGTAGAAGTATCATATTACCTTCGTTCTCAAATAAATGCGGCAAATTATTTGAGTTTACATATATACACTGATATAATTAGGCATCTATTTCATCGTTTAAGGAAGTTTTTTAAACGTGTGTTAATATTTGCCCGGCCGTTTAAGTGTTAAGGTATGTACTTTATCAATAAACTCGATTTGAAATGTTGGGAAAAGTTAGTGATAAGAAAATCTTTGGAAATTCGTGGACTCTGGTCAGTCTACACGAATTTTCCAAATTTTTGGAAAATGATATAATACACGACACTTCTGTCTAAATACAACACAATTGACAGTTCATCCGCCGACGGCGGGTTATCAAGGCACCCTTGTAAGGTTATGTTGTTTCAGATAGGAATGCACTGTGCAGATTTGTTCCTTCCTTGTAGCGTCCTCTATTAAAACTTATTACCAACGTACAAAAACAGAATAGTTACATTTCTCTATTTTATGTTGGCAATTATGACGATAAACTTCTAATTTCAAAAATGCGATACGCAATAAGCATATACAGTTATGATTGATTAAAAGTATGTATTGTTTCAGTTTCGCATGAAACATTTCAGTAAGTTTATTCAAACGATGTTTTCAATATATGTAAAATTCGTATAACGAATAATTTTCTGAATAATACTTATTTTTCAATGCGTAGAAATTTTGAAATTTGCACGTTGTTTGAATGTATGGGAATCCCAGTGTTATCAATAACTGTCCTTTGTTTTCCTGACATTCATTTTATCTTGGGCAGATATAGTTTTATAATTTTGTCTTCACCTTTGTTATATTTGCTTGTTTTGGAATAAGTAAACGATTATACATTTGTTTCAATTACAGAAGTAAGTTAAATTTAATAATAAAAAAGCTTCTATATTTATCACAAATACAATATTATAAAGTAATAATTTTGTAGTTTACGAATTAAAATTAATTATTTGCAGAATGTAATTTATATTAATTATTTTAAAGATTATTGAAATGAATAGAAATTCTTTTAAATTATTGACTGTCTTGTCTAAAATTACATGTAGGAAAATTTATAACAATATGATTTATCAACTTCTGGATATTTATTAAGATCTCAGGAAAGATGGTTTCTTTGTTAGTTTATTAACTTCTTTTAAAGCTTTTCAATATTGAAATTTTGTTCTGTTTTTATGAACTACTTATTTTATTGTATTTCATTACAGATCAATTATTAACTATGTATTAATTTTATTCATATGAATAAAAGATATACATATAAGAATATATTGATTATTGTGCTATTGAAATGTACACAATCTTGCTAATAGTTTAATCTTGCTATGGAAATATATGATAAAAGGTATATAATTTAAGGAATTAATTCGTTTGAAGTTGAACTTTCCAATATGAATTGTAAAGCAATGACTGATAGAATAAGTGAGAGAATGAATGTAGATAAATTATATTCCAATGAATGGATCAATCTAATTTCAAGTGATTCCAGCTTAGCTAGTGATTATGATGATGATGATGATATTACTTACCTTAATATTGTTTCTCATAAATCATCGCATCCAGTTTTTGTAGAAGCTTGTGATGATACGTCTATGTCTATTAATGATGACACAGCATGCGATACAATTGATATAGAACTGTTAAAAACAATTGATGATGATTCTAAAATTTGTCAAAAGTTAACACCAGTACCACATAAATTGGAAGCTACTGTGTCTCATAATTTTGATGAGATAAGACAAGAAGCTCTTCAGATATGTAATCTCTTGTCTAACTTTAAATATGAAACAGTATATAAAGCTTTACGTAGGAATTACAAAGCAGAGAATCGTATAGAGCTCAGTTTATGGGACTTATTACCTAATAAAAGACCAAGAGTAAAACATTTTCAAGATTTATCAGTACATGGTATGCAGAATGTATTAAAGAATACATCAAATTCACAAACTGTATGCAAAAATAAGAACACTGCATTTCAAACAAATTGTGTAAACGGATTGCAGGAGCATTTAGCAAGAGATTCTAAAGTTTCTTCTCCTACTGCAGATGGAATATTAGATCTAGCAAAATTAACAATTAATCAAAAATCACAACATACAGAATGTGTTACATCAGACAGTTCTTTTATTTTACCTTTATCAAAGTCAGTTACTAATGCTAACAAACATTTAGAAACTAGAACTGCAAATTCATCCATGTATGTGGAGAATTATGGAAACAATAAATTTAATCAAAAACATGTCTCTTCAACAAAAAGTGAATTTAAGTCAAACTCAACAAAGCCATTGATAAATAACAATTCTACAGACCGAATTTTATTTCAATATATGCAGTACTTACAATATATGCAAATTGTTAAACAGCAAAAATTAACTGGTGAAATTAAAAATTTTAATTTTAACCAACGAAATGAGGCCCGAAAATTATTTCTAGAATCACATAGTTCAAACCTACAGGATATAGATATTCAGAAAATACAAAATGTTGCTAATGTTCCCACTTCCTCTGTACTTAAAGAAGGACAAGTCCTTAGCAATGGCAGAAGAAAGAAGGAGCAACATTCTAAAAGTAAAAAATGCGCTGTAGAACGGTGCAATAATATTGCAGTAAAATATATACCACCAAAATGTCAATACGTAGATGAAAGATTAGCATTTGCATTTCCTCAGATAGATAAAAATTCTATTAAGCGAATATGTTTAAATCTTGAAAATGCAAGTAGTATTTGTTCAGTTGGACAATTGGAAATAATAGCTGGACGAATACTGGATACTATTATAAACTTTGCTGGATTGTTTGCTATCATTAAAGCTAATACTACATGCAGTAAAACAGCAGTAGTATCTGTAACTAATTCGAATAATTTATTGTCTCATCCTATTAATTTTAATGACTCATTAAATAGAACGAATAATACTTTCACACAAGCTTCCAACAGACTTTCAATTTGTCCTTCAAATTATCCTATCTCTAAATCACAATTAGCATTTGGAGGGGCCAAAAAAAAAGTAATTGGAAAAAAAAAAATAACTGAAAGTAACAAAGATGTTGAAGAGAATATTGTATTACCTTTAAAATTTGAAAAAATGTATGAAACATTAATAACAGTGTATCCCCAACTTGATAAAAAGTTTATTAGACAAACGTGTAAAAACATTTCAAAAGTAGATGATATTTGTTCAATTGAACAGTTAGAAGCTTTAGCTGTACAAACAATACAAGATAAAATGCAATCAACTAAAGCAAATATCAAGATATCTCATCAGGAAGATGATGAAAATAAATTGTATACTTCCTTATCAGGAATCTTTCCTGAGGCAGATCCTGCATATTTGAAAAAAGTTATTGTGCGAGCAAAAAACAGACCATCTGAAATAGAAAATTTCATACAAACTCAATGGGACAATCCCACTTACCCGACAAAACAAGAAAAATTGGAAAAAATGAGAATTACACAGCAACAAATGCAGTGTACTAAAAATTTTGATGTGAAACAATTTTTGGAAATATTTCCAGACCCTGTTAAATATTTTACAAATCCAGAAAGAGTCTGTAAGTTTAATTCCGAAGCAGTTACATTTCTTACATCACATTTCAGTCACTTTGAGGTACGTTATTACATGTTATTTTCAATTGTTGTAAAATAATAAAACAGGTAAAATTTATAGGCGCCGCATTTGAAAGATATATATAACGTGAACAAATTTAATTTAACATTAACAGTACAAAAGTTAGAAAATACGCCACCGCATAAAAAATTAGCTGGAAATATCGACTCATGGGGAAGATATCCACCCCAGGATATCCCTTTATTACAAGAATGTGCATACATAACACATAGAGAAGAAATTTGTGAATATTTAAATAAGTTAAAAGAAGCAGAAATGAGAGAATTTATGGCATTAAAGGTAACTTGTTTTATTTTAAATAAATAACAGAGGAAGAAAAAAGTTCAATTCATGTCTATGCTTTACAGAGCAAAAATGAGCTTTTAGAATGTCAGTGTTGTTATGATAACGAATGTATGCCTTCTAAATGTTCTACATGTGATGATGGTCATATATTTTGTAATTCATGCATTTTAAGAGGAACTGAATCCCAATTGGGATTAGGAAATACGCGTATTTCGTGTTTCTTAAATTGTGATGGAGAATTTACAGTTCCAACACTTCAAAAGATATTACCTCCAACACAATTTAGCATTTTTATACGCAAAAGGCAAGAACAAGAGGTAATGGCTGCTAAAGTAGTAGGTTTAGTTTCTTGCCCGTTCTGTCATTTTGCCTCTATACCTCCTCCAGAGGATAAAGTTTTTAAATGTCTTAATCCTGAATGCATGAAAGAATCGTGTCGGTAAGTTACTTATAAACAATACAGAGATGTATTTATAAAATGCATAATATTTAAGATAATTTTTCATAAAGTTCAAGTAAAAAAATTTTTAATTATTATGACATATTAATTTTGTTTAAACAGACTGTGTAAAGAGCTGAATCATGTGCCTCTCAGATGTTACGAAGAAAGATCTGAAAAAGCACGTTTAGTTTTGGAAGAAAAAATGACAGAAGCACTTGTACGTAAATGTTATAAATGTAGTAAACCATATTTCAAAGCAGATGGATGTAACAAAATTATTTGTCAGTGTGGGGCTATGATGTGTTATATTTGTGATACAGCTATAGATAGTTATGCTCATTTCAGGTACTTAGTTCTATCACATTGGTGGTTATAATTACTGATTAATAGGAATAAATAAGTTTGTTGATATATACACATAAATTTGAATTTCAGTTCTAATGGATGCCCAACATATAGCGATAATTATAGTATAAACGCTGAAACAGTTAGAGCAGTTGCAGAGAAGACTGTGGAATTTTTGAAGAAAAAGGACCCACATGCTGATATAAAGGCAGATGATCTTTTAAAAAATCTTCCATCAGCGTCACCTAATGCAATTAGGGTAAATTATAGTTATTTTAATTTACAAGGTATTTTGTTTAATGTATCAAATATTTTCTATTTACTTTACAGGGACGAGTAAATAAGATAACAAAATTTGACGAATGAAGTTTTCCTTTTCTATTGGTTAATTTATTTTTATAAAAAAAGCAGAAGAAAAATTTTAAAAACAACATTTGCAAGATTAGAATTGTTTACAACAAAATTCAGTAAAATGTATGTATATCTTTATTCTGGTAGTTATTTGAGTAAGATAATTTTTTATGTTACTTATGTCTAAGTTTGAAATTAATCTTTATTTTGAGTTTGAATAATCTTAATTTTGTTTAATATATATATATAATATAAGACTGCTATTGTTAATTTTTATTTTTTAAGCTTTTTAGCAATAAGTAGTGTTATTCTTTGAAATTATAATACAAAATATATAAAATATGTTGAACATATTACAAAAATAAATGACTGATAAAAAATAAATGTATACATATATATTTTTTCATGTTTGATTTTACTGATATACATTTATTTCGTGTATTACAGAATAATTGAAGATACAACAAAGTAACAAAAAATTAATTCCTCCATTCTATTTTTATTTAGTATTTTTTTGATTCTGTATTCGATCTTATATCGATGAGTCCTTCCCCTCCATGGTGAGGAGGTTCTTCAGTGTTATCAGGTTTTGGAGTAACCGGATTTGTAGAGTTACTTTGCCCACTAATGATTATCGGTTCTTCATAGGGGGTGGTAATGGTCTGTAAGCAATCATTACAGTAAATTCTTCTTACTTCTTAATTATTTAACACTTCACAATCATTTAAAATATTATAACATACTATGTCACCCGTTTTTGAATTGCGACAAACCAATCCAATGTTACACCTGTCATCCATGGAATTACTTTGTTGATTACTTTGAAGATACACCAATTGTTGGCATGTTATCGGAGGTATATCTTTTGGTAGTAAACAAAAATGTTCTGGTGGTGGAGGACAGTTATATCCCGGCGGTGAAAAAGGTGGTCCTGGTGGTGGAGGAGCTTGTCCAGGTGGTCTAAAGAATGGTCCAAGCAAAGGAGGCGAATATCTAGGTGGGTATTGCCACTGGTAGGGCATGTTCCACTGATATCCTCCCCAGGAGGCAACAGGATTGCCTTTGGCAACACACAGTAACATTAAGAAGCTGAGGATCTTCTTCATCTCCTAAGAAGTAACAACAATTGGTTAATGTCTCTTCTGAAGCATATTAGAATCGTTTCCAACTAGGAGCATCAATATCAAGTAATTGGTTAAACAAAGAGAAGGACACTTAGCTATTAGTTTGAGAATAACAGAATCACGTGCCTGTGGAAACTTATAACTGAACAAAGCAGAGATACGAAAGACCAGTCACGATGCACTATGTCCCAGCGATGCTCGGACATTATTTATAAGGAAAGAAGAACTTGTGGTTCTTCAAGTAAAACCAGAAAAATAGCGAGAAAACCGTTCATTAAAATGTGACTCATTTCTGTATTATCCGTCTCTTCGTCAGTGGTAATTATGTATCTTCAAATTAAAACGTGACGAAACAAGAAAAGAAGATATTTCACAGAAAATCTTTCGTAGCTACTTCTGTATGGCTTTTCGTTTAATCATCAGAGTACAGAGAGGAAAACATTGAGTTTTCCGAAATTTTTGGGTTTTATAAAAATAAACCTTATGAGTTTTTATACAGAATTATGACTCGAACAGCGCAAGATACGTACAAATATATTCGATGGATGCTCGACAACCAAGGTCACAATGATGTAATTTACTTACCGTAGAAAAAGTGCAAAGGGCAAGACACTCGTTCACTGAACTTATTGACTGAAACTGAGACCCGAACTTCGAAGCGGTGATGCTTTTACAGACTATTTTACGTACAACTAGACCTTCGGACTCTTATGAGCAAATACCATTAATTAAACGTTATTCCTTTATCGCTTTGTTATTTTTTCTTGCACGTTTACGGAATACAAGAGGCGATCACCACCGGTGCAATGATGGTATTTTTACAGTCAGTTCGGTTTTAAACGAGCTTCAATGATTTATTATAATTTATGCGAAATTAACAATAAGCATTTATCGTGGGAGAGGTCGCGAGGTAGTAACCTTCGCGGTTTACATATATCAGATTTACTATTTTCTTTTCAAGTATGGTTGTTGAAAAGTCCTTATCGAGACTGACGTCATAAAGAAGAGTCTATTTATTCTCGATCTTTTGATGGAGGATATTTACATAGTATTTTGCGTTTTCAGCTTTTGGAATGATTAGTAGGGAGAGAGTACTGGATAGGAATATGGACAATGGTGAGATCATTCTTGATGGCCTTGAAACTAATTGTTTTTGACCAGTGGCTTTCAGTTAAATTAGCGGACTACATAAAACTTAACAGAACAGATTATACTAAAGTAACTTAGGATTTAGTTCAAATGTGCATGATGCATTGACATTGAACGCGATGGTAATTCCTTTACAATTCTCTAAAATATTCAACTGCAATAGATTTAAAGGAGTATATCTACAATTTATATGTTTTCTGCAGATTATAAAGAAGATCCGTGAGGCAATGAAAACGACGTTGTAGATGAAGAAGCATCTTGCATCGAAGACGTAGAATCTGACGATGAATATTCACGAATCGTAGCCGTTTCCGTTCCAACATCGTCGATGTTTATTGCATCCGTCACCATTTTGGAATTTTGCAATGATGCAGAGTTTGACAGAAGAGAGGACAACAGATTCACTAAACGATTGATGTATGGCGACTCCAGTAAATCAGTGATATCCGCGTTTTTAACTTCCTCTATCAGGGTTGCGATTTCGCTAGCTAGCGTATTCAACAAGATGAGCTTCGCGGCTTTGATTGCCTCCCAGTTTGTTAGTCCGATGTCTACCAACGAGCTTACTATATCACGACTCGACCTCTTCAAGTCTGTTTCCTGGGAGAGTTCTTGTAGACTCGGTAAAAGACGGGATTTCACATTGATCACAGGGGTCGTGGTATCCATAACTTCCTTTTGTGACAATGTGGATTCCTGTACATCAGGGAAACGATCGTTCGTTCGTCTGTAAAAACGCCGTTGCGATGCTACCATCGTTAGGATAATCTGCAAGAAATTAAGTTTTGAATTAACTTGGTTATTAAAAAAAATTAAATTGTTCTCAATAATATATTTTAAGGAGAAGTTAAGGAAAGGTGGTTACATCAGTATGTATATTTATTCTTTTGAAATTATGTTCATTATAGTTATAGGGATACAGTGGTAGTTCTAGAAATATACAGATGTAGCAATATAAAAATCTAAGAATATGATACAGGAATCTAAAGTATTTAGACGCCTATGAGTACTGGAATCTGTAGTTTGTTTAGAGAACTGTAACTTACTAAAAAATATGCTGTCCTTAACGTCCACATACCTGGGCTACTAGGAACTAGAATAACATAAACTTGTTCATGCTCTTATATACATTATCTACAAGCAATATTGATAATACCCTCACTTTCACGAATTTTCTATCCTTTGAGCATTTTTGGAAAACTTTCACTTTAATGTGGTGTCTTATCAATTTCCTTGATCGAATGTTATCGCGACTCGTTTAGTAAGAAGTTTTCGTAAACGTATCCATAGAATAGATACATATGTTTCATAGTTAAAAAACCTTCTGCATATATTCTTTCAAAACTTCAACATAGTCCAATATAAAAAATAAACATAAAATAGTCATAAACGCAACGTCAGTTTCAGGTGGCTTCTTGTCTTGAATTTTCAGTGAGCTGCGTTTCTATAACTCGTTTATTGCCACTAGAGGTGGATGCATTTCTAGTTTTCACGAATTCCAATTTCTGGTGCTCGTCATTCCGGAAATATGAGTCGTCCAGGACGAACACTGTGGTCATTGCAATAGACACTCCAGCAAAGATCACCCACATAATCAGCTCCAACGTGACCTGTTACAGGAATGCATATAAGAATACATCTTCACACCTTATGGAGTCAGTTCAACCGAATTGTAATTTCATTTTTCTAACATTATAAATAAGTATACAGTATTTACAACTGATAGAAGAAGACTGTATTGAAATTTAAAAGTATACTTATTGCTCATAAAATAGCCTCATCAGGTAAGATTAACAGTAATTCTGTCAAGATAATTATAAAAGCTCACTTCTGCCACAACTTTCAGAATGATCCTCAAACGATCGTTAGCGTAGATCCACTGCCAGATTATAAATGGCAAAAGAATGATCAGAAGCAGCGTGTCCAGCACGTGTAACACAATCAGCGATATGGATTGCACCACTATCGATGTTCTGCGTGATTCCTGTCTGGAATATCAAGCTTTCCCTTATATGGTATTTATCATCTTTAGTTTTATCATTTTCATAAATCGTGTACCTGTTTTGCGTCCTTTTATTTTCTTCTGTCGTTTCAACTAGCTCTTTGATACTGCTACTGCCCCTGTGGTTCTTAATGGTTAGTGGTTGGATCTTGCCGTAATGCATGATGATGAAGTAAATGAAACGAAGGTATGTTTATTGGACAACGGTGTTTCTATCGATGGAAAACGATTAACACCGTGGGATTGTGATTAATCCGTTTCATTCTATAAGAATTTGTCAAATTCAGTACATTGGACAGTAATGAACGCGATCGAGCGAATAAAAAGATGGAGGATCATTAGCTTTTCATCTGTTTTATTTTGTATGGATGTACAAGGTGGACAGAAAATGTAGATAATCGTTTATAAGAGGATGTATAAAGGTAGAAAAAACAAGTTGATATTTGATTGAAGTTTTTTGAAAATATCTCAGAAACTGATTAATAATTTCTTATGCTTTAGTTCTCTTATGAACATCAGTGGTTCTGAAGCGGTTAAAAGTAATTGAAGTGGATGCTCAAGTCGGCAGGGGAAGCTTGAAGTAACAAAAGCTTCAGAAGCGAAACTTCTAAGAGCAAATAAGGATATAGAGTTGCAATAAACTTGAACAGAGACCTAGGATAGCGAAGATCATTTATTTACAACAATATTCATTATAAATGGAATAGAAAAAAGAGAAACGCTAGAAACGTGAATCGTTAATTGGCCACTAGTTACATAAATCTCGTTCTCGCGCTTATCGTAATACTTTTTGGTATTTCGCCTATGGCGAACGCTCGTTACATGGAGATTAATAACACTCGATGGAAATATTCTCTTCCCGTGCATCCTTCTCGGTCATTATCGAGCGTTTATCGTGCTTTCGATCATCATAAGTCATTCCCGTCGACAGGCTAAACGTGTTCAGGAGAGGGACGCGCGAGAACCGCTTTCTTCTTTTATGGCACAAAACGACTTTGCCTCGATCGGTTAATTATTATGATAATTAGTCGACTCAAGGATTATCGCAACGCAAACAGTGTGCTCAATGTTCGTTTGCATGTTGTAATGCAAACTTGTGTCTTTTCTGTTTGATCACACGATTGATCCTTCATTTTGTTTCCAGGCACTCGAGAAGCGAACACGTCGATCGGTGAAGAGGACTTCAGAAAAATGGACGTCGATCGTAAAAGACATTCTGGTTCATTTTTAAGAAACGATTCTGTGCACGGCGTTGCTTTTTCGCTTGTTGTTGTCTATACACGAATAGTGGTCTGAAGACTTTCGCGTCTTGAGCTTCAAGGTCATCCGAGCCACCTTTGCTTTCTTTCTGACTTAATCCTGTCTCTATGGATCTGGATACTCTACTTCCGACCTCGTTTGGCACTTGAAGTGAAATTGGAGAGCGCATTCTTTCAATTTGTCCGTTCATTTCGACGTGATCTTTTAATTTTCCATATGCCTCCACCTGGAAATACGGAAAATTGAAATATGTGAAGGTGTGGTAGACTAGCACTTGTAATCTTTAATTTTCACATTTCAAAGTTGCTAAATTTCCAAGTTTCTAAAAGCCACATTAATACTATTAATAAAGCTATAAAAATTTATGTAAAAAGTTTGGAATACCAGAGCTTTAATAGATTACCTATGTAAAGATTAAAGATTTGTGTTATGTTACCTACCGAACGGGTTACTCTGGAAGCATCGTTAAGTTCTTCTTTCACCTCTTTTTCCAGCATCCTCTCGATGTAACCGTTATTCATCGGGTTCTTTTTCTGCAATCCATAAGCGCGAATTCCTGGAAGGTCTTCTTCGGAATTGATATGAATTTTCTCCACCTTTCCGTCAAATCCAGTTTGATTTTCAATGTGTAATCGCCTTGTACGACTGTTCTCCCTGAATCTTCTAGGAAGTCTAACTGGTGTTTCGTCCAGGTTTTTCAGTTTTGTTTGGGTAGGATCATGGTGTTCCACGAAAACTTGCAGATGTAATTGTTCCTTCGTAGCGCTGATATCGAACGACGATATGAAACAGATTAACTGAAAAAAATATGCAAAGAATGTTGTCAAAATTATTATAAAACGTATAAGTCAATGGAAAATTTTGGTTGCATTGATTGTATGTAAAAGCAGGAAAATTGCGGTTTAGCGATAAATCTTATCTAACAGAGATTACTGGCTTCCTCTTATGTTCTTAATTGAAGTTTTGAAATAGTGTTTGAGAAAAAATGTCACTCACACATGCACACAGCTTTCTAATGGATAATGTGTTGCAATAAACATCAGTCACGTTTCTGATTTATCAGCAAAGAATTTATTTGTTAAATATTGAAAATTGAAGTTTTCCTTATAATTTACTTTTCCTTTATAACTTCAAAAGCACAGTTTTAATAGTGAGCTGTAAGATTCAAAGCTCCAGCAGTAAAAGAATCAACATTTCAATGTTAAGAGCTTCAAAACCAATACTTCAATGTTAAAAGCCTTAAAAACCAACATTTCAATACTGAAAGCTTCAAGAATCAATACTTCAATATCAAAAATTTCAAGAACCAGCTCTGCAATATAAAAAGCTTCCAAAACCAATGCTTCAATATTAAAAATTTTAGACAATAAAAGTTTGGAAAAGCAAACTCTCAATATAAAAAATTTCAAGTTCTACAAATTAAAACTTGAAAACTGAAATCTTCAAGAACTTCAATCTCTCATGCAAACTGTAAGATTTTTTATTTAACAAAATATATATCACTAAATATTTGTAACAACTATAACTTTTTTTTACAGGTAAATTATCCTGTTAGTGTACACATCTCTTCTTACCAGGAGTACAGCCCACATGGTTGCAGAATGGTTTTCAGAGATCAGCTTCAAGAACAGTTTCCGTCCCCGGCAAGACTTAGATCACGTTTGAAGGAAGAGATTGACCAAGCATCGGTTATATACGCACCACGTTTACGATCTTCGAGGATGGCGATTATAAACCGCTACCGCACACATGATATGCAGATTTCCCGTTGAGGGAGAGAGAGGGAATAGTCTTGTTCCCCGTAAGAATCTTCTTTACGAAACTTCGTCTCTGGAAATGAGTCACCTTCACAAGTATGCTTTGAAAAAGGAGGAAGAGAAAGATGTTGCTCTTCTTCTTCCTTGAATATGTATTTCCGACGGAAGCTTGAACACCTTGGATCAGCTCGCGTGATTTTTCTCTGTCGGTCGCGTGATAGCGGTATCGTTTGTGCCTTCCGCAACTTTATTCTCATCTTTAATTAATTATCAGAAATAACATGTGTAAGCTTTCGGTCCATTCACGTTGTTATTATACTGCAGTATTATTGTCATTTACAATTTTTCTTTTGCAAGTAACAGATATTGTTAAGTTTGTGATAGTCAATGAATAGAGCATTTTAAAAATTTAACATTATATAGAATTTTGGTTATCATTTCTGAGGTAAAGAAATTTTATTCCAACTTTAAATTACTTTTTTATTGTAGGCACAGTAGACTCTTGTTATATTGCATAAATTAAGCTTATTACTATATTCATTTAAAGGTAGCAATATAGGAAGAATTTATTGTCCCCTTTGATGATTCAGCTATTGTAATTATTTTTTTTCCTTATTTACACTGAAAGGTTAACAGATCAAGGTGAAGAATTTCACAGCCGTTTTTCTCAGACCAGTCACGATGTTCCACAGGTGTTAAATGTCCACTCATCAATTATTATTGGAACATTTGTACACACCCCTGGTGAGCACATGTTGAATGACGATGAATGAGTCGATAGACAACCAAATGACTAACTATGAATTCCGCTTGCAGACATTAACGACTTTATGTTAATTGAGGTCGGTGATTATGATCGTTGAAATACATTCGTAGAAAACTGGTTTTCTAGGACCAATTCGTCGAATATGGATTACTGCTTAATCTGAGACTTTGGTGTATACAGATTTTCAGGAAATAAGAATGGTAAAAAAACTTCAGTTTAAAAGATGGATAATATTTCTATTTCAAACTGTAATTCACGTTTGCAGGTATTGTAACCAGATAAATAATTTCTTGAGTTCTCAGATTTACAAATTTCTATATTCACAAACCCTTAAAAATTATTTGATTAGGCTTAGGTGTGTTAATATTAATAGAACTGAGGTAGCCTAGCTTCAATAAGAAATTACGCCACTTGTTGCAATAGTGTTTAATTCATTGTACATGCTGCTAAAAAAATATTTGTTTTGAGTGAACAACATATCAGCATCCATGTTATAAATTATCTCTGTTTTTAAGCTATTTAATTCCCTCAGTTTTCCACAGAAAACAGTTTGTAAACACAGCTGAACTACAAATTACAATTTTTATTAAACTTTCTTAAGAATCACTATCAATATTATGTAATGATGACCTTGTCATGATATTCACAATTAAATATACATCTTTAAATTGCATAAGCTTCCAGCAGCTATTCTCATAACTAGGATAATGGAGATATTAGAAACTTTATTTTCAAAACATATTTAGTAAATTCTAGAATTACAAACATTTACAATAGAAGTACACGGATAGTATAACTCTCTTATAAAAAGTGTATAGGAAGAAATGGTCCACCATTTTCCTTGCTTGCATTCTTCGTGAAGACAGGAAGAGATTCCCTGAATTCCTCTAACTTCACAGATCAATGGCAGAAGGTTCTTCCTTTTACACTTACTCTTAATCAAAAGTTTAAATTGTATCCAAATGCTAAAATGTCTGAGTCTGTTCCAGAAAGAGATGTTCTTTGTCTTAAGTCCATCGTGGCGTATCCTCCTCGCACTACTCCTCTTCGTTTCTAATAATCGTCGTATCGAGGTCTGTAAAAATAAGTGCGTCTCGGATAATCATCATATCGGTTGCTGTCATCATAGTACCTAGACCGTTGCTGCGTTTCCTGTCGGTATCTAAACAATGGTCTAAAAATAATGTCTTCAGCTACATCCATGTCACCTTTTTCTCGCGAATAATCCGCGTTGTCATCCTGATATGCCGGAACGATCATCTCCCAGCGTGACATCGTTATTGGTTTCAGATATTCTTCTTCCTGTTGATTTGGCCACGAGGACAACGGCACTGAAACTGTTTCCTGGCTTGGGGATGAACCAATCATCATCTGGAAGTAATGGATTGCAATACAGAAGTGGGAAGTATTGGAAATTTGAAAGGAAAGTACATGAAGAGTTAGTGAAGTATGCATATTCACTGGAAAACAGAATGGACTTCTTCAGAGAAAATTGTCATTGAAGAATTTGAAGATTTGAGGACTTGGAAATACATAGATTTAAAAATATAGAAATTAAAAAATGTAGTAATTTAAGAATTTGAAAATGTACAATCACCTGTGGCGAGGTTGACTTCCAGTAATCAGGGACAATAGTTAAAGAGCTTTGATCGACATAATTCTGAGCCTTCTTTTGTATAACGTCGCTATTGTCATTCAGGAATTGAACCTGATTTTTCACGTCGTTGTTACTTAATTGATTCGGTAAAATGGCCACGATAGGGCTGTTCACCTTGCCTTTTTCCGCTTTCGAAGGATCAATGACCGCCACTATAGGCACGGCCACTTTCTTCGATTGATCTTCTGGTAACGGTACGTCATGACTAATTGTGTCTTTTAAGAATTCGGTTTTGCTTCTTAATTTTTCGTTGCTTGTAGTCGGTTGTACTGATTCTTGTTCGGAGAAGGATTGCAGATCCATCGTATTCTGCTGAGGTCCAGTTTGGATTTCCTGGAAATTGAAGAAAGCTGTTTACAAGGAAATTGTAATTGGTAGTTACCGAGGAAGTTGCAAGAAGTTTTATTGGCACGTGATGTATGCTTAATTTATAAAGTAGGTTTTATCTGGTAATCTTTTGATCATTATCAGCTTCTGTAGTTAGACTACAGATGTTTTTACAGATTCGCATTTTTATAAATAATAGAGATCAACTTGTAGAAAGTCGATGGATAATTAAATTTCTCTGAATCCTTAATCGGTCAAGTATAATCTAACTATCGTTTGGCACAGTTTCTCACGTTTCCTTCATTGTACACTTAGATGAACTCGTTTTGAATTAAAACAGAACTATATTATCAATAAATAAGAATAGAATTTAACGTCAGTAACTAATAATTTATCTCATAACTTTGTCACAACTAATCTTTAAATTTCAAGTTTATAACGTGAATCAAAAGTTGACAAAATACATCTTATTGTTCTCATAATTAACATTAAAAAAGCGTAATAACAAGTATTATCATAGTAAAAGTATTTCAAATCTTAAAGTTGATCTTACAAAAATTTAACAAATTTCATAATATTGCACATATAATTTTGTAAAGAAACTAATATTTTTCAGTATCTGCTCAAGGCTCCATCACGACTGTTTAACGATGATTAGCAGCATACACAAATTGTTCAATAGTGATGCGTGAAACGAGATTCATGTTTTCGAAGAGGATCAACTTGACATGCTTTTTCTTTGTGAACGGTCATCTGATCGAATGGAATGTGTTCATTGAATTATTGTCCTTTACCTCGGGTACGTATTCATCAGCGTCGCTTTCAAAGAACGTTTCACTTTCAGGCGTAGAAGCCTCCATGGCTTCTGTTTGTTTCGTTTCCGTAATATTCTTTCGCACGTCCTCCAAATTTTCCGTGGGGACTACCAGGATATGTTCACGTTTTGAGAGTATCTTTAATCAAATCCATTCACTTTTCTCTATTGTAATTTATTGCTAATTAAAATACTAAATTAATGGCCATTAAAGACATGAATGAAGGATTAGCAGGAATGCATAATTACTATAACTCATTAAGTAATTATACACACTTAATGATAAATGGCATGGACTAAAATTACTTCAATTATTCCAGGATTTCAATCAACAGTTGAAGAAAAGGATGAATTATAAAATTATACCATGTTGGGATTACTAGCTGGCATTATGAAGACGTCTTTTTTAACAACGAGCCCATTTAATGACCCGTTGCTGGCTGCATGTTGTACTGCATCCTGGACAACAGGATCCTGAACCACGGCAGCAAGCGTTTCGTTCTTCGTCAGTGGTGTCGGTGGCAATAAACCCTCCACATCTTCAGGACTCAGGGGTTTACATGTTGCGATCTCTCCATAAAGGATTAAACAGAGGACAAGTTGAAACATAGTCATCTGAAATTAAATTATTCAATATGATGATCTTTATACAGGTTCGTTTATGGAATCATTATTGGTTTACTTATATAGTAGCTTCGTATTAGATTACAAATCTTTCGTATCAGTTCAATAAATAGAATATACTATTTATATTGAATAATTGAAGAAGTTATTGTACATTATACGCAGTAATTATGATAATGAAAATCATGTTACGTAACATTGCAGCACTTTACAAGTGCCGCAACATATCAGTCTTAATTTTCGTTGTTTAGTTAGACATCAAGGTTTTTAACAACTGAGGAGATACTACGCAGTATTTTTAAACGCAGTATCTACGTATATTTTTAAATTTCTTTTTCTTAATCAATATGTTTACTCCATTTTAATACCATTTTGTGCTTCATTATTACAGCCTCAAGTGTCACTAGCGATTTTCCAATGTCCAAAATTTTTTTGGTCCACGTTGTTTCCACCTAAACTTCACTAACGTCTTTTCGAGTCTGACTAGTGATAACGGTCCGTTCTTATTTTATACTAGCTACCCAAAGAATTATCATTGTCCTGCTAACAGACGTGAGTATCAACCTTGCGGTACACTACTTTAGCCAATTGCACCTTGAACCTGGCTTCACTGCTTTGATTTGTTTCTCGTTTGCGTTTATGTCTGTCCGTTCGTGATTTTGGATTACATTTCCAAACATCAGCAACTGCGTCAAACCCTCTTTTCCATTCTTGAGAACTCAAGTTTGAGAGCTTGGAAAGTTGGACGTTTAGAAGCTACAGACTTTGGAGATATAATAATCTTTATATTCATATCTTTCTTGATTCCTAGAGTCATAGATTCCTAGATCTCTGCACTCTTATGTTTCTACACCGTAGAACCTTATAATCCCAGATTGCTATAAGATTAGGTATTCAGATCTATAGAGCTCTACATCATACCTCTATATTTCTAGATCCTTAGTTAAAATGTGTTAAAATTTGATATTCTTATGATAATAGTATTCTGTATTTTTTCCAGGAAATACCAAGAAGTTCATAATACAGTACCTGAAGATCTTCAACAACGTGCGCTCTTCCAAGGAACAGAATTCTAACATCCAAAACATACTAACAGTTCTGGATCGCGCTGAAATTCTTCCGGGACTAATTTCGCAGTTAGTGGGTTGCTAACAATATTGAAATGTTTAGCGATCGATTTAGCAACTTCTATATAACTCAAGCTATAAAAGAACGAGCAACACCTTCTGCTTTCTTAGTTCTCCATTCTCGTCGAGCGCTATTCATTCACTTGGAATTAGATTTCAAATTTACAATTACGTTCAGTTTTTGGATCAGTGATCTACGGTAAAAATGAGATCCTTAGTTCTTTACAGTTTGATACTTTCATCAAGTATTATACTACGTATCAAATGCGACGACGTGGAAACAACTTCAATCACTCCAGAGTCTGCATCTAACGCATCTGATACTGATACTGAAGTTTTCATGTTCATATTAAACAATAATAATGATACGGAAAATGATGCTAATGACACTGCATCTAATTCGACAATCAGTTTGGGAGAACCTTTTGGATTAATAATTGAGACACGTTCCAAACGTGATTCTACGAATGAGTCTTCAGCAACGAGTACCATAGATTCAACAATAAACAAGACACAAGAAGGTGTGAAAGATGACTCAGATGTCAATCAAACATCCACTAGATTTGAAGAATCGATTAGGGAGATGTTCTTAGAGCCTTGGGGTCGTGCCAAACGTGACACCTTAGAAGAAGACGCAAGCGTACCAAATAGTTCAGATGCACCGCTTCCGGATAATTCCAGTGAATCTATTCAAGATCAGAACTTAAACGAATTTGCCAGCGACCATGATGTAACTGTAGAAGGTAATAGCGCATCGGACGAGTCCTCTTCGACGAGTGAAGAGGATCGAGAAGAAAGAGACGTTGGACAATCAGAAGAAAATTTAGAGGAAGGTGAATATCGTTATAGAACGCATCCTTATTGGTATCGTCAACCCATCGTCAGAAGATATTGGGCCAGCCAAGAACGAAAACCATCTCGTGATTTCATAAAAATTCCCATATTCCCTGGGAAATAATATTCATTCGTAGTAATAGACTGATGCTATTAACTACAGTAGACCTTCGTTATATTGCCAACGACAGTGTAGGAATAGAAAATATTTGAAATTGCTGGAGTTGAATGAAAATTTTCTTTTTCTATATCGCAAGAGTTTTTGTAGATACATGAAAGTGGCAATGTAACGATAGACTTATGTAGTTTCATATTTAATTCATTATTTAAACAATTTTTTTATACACGAATTGCAAATGGCTTTTTATTTATCATCAATGACATTAAGTACTTTTGTATCATGAAATAGATATAGTAATTATCATTATTTAATCACACAAGGTGTCATAACTATTCATTTTTTAATAAAAATTTCAGTTTGACAAATTTTAATATAATTCTTCAGAATTAATGTAAAACCAGCTTCTGGAATTTGATGAATTATAAATAACTTATCTGAAAAATAAAAATAATTGAAGTTGGAACCATGAGAGGTTTCCATAGAAGCCTAAAATTTTAAAAAATAACTAAAAATAGCTAAGAAACATTATTATTATTTGTCAAAATGGAATTTTTACCGAAAAATTATTGCTTTTAAGAATAAAGTATTATTTATTTAAAGAAATAACACTTTGTTGCAAATAGTCAATATTTCTTGTTTAAATAATGGCCAACTCTGTCTTAAAAATAATACTCACAATTGCGTGACTAACGAATGTTTGTAATAAATGAAGGTTAAATAAGTTCACATGTTCATTGTAGTTATTTTAAGAAATTTATTCGACGAATTCGTAAATAGCATACATAGAAAACAAAACACCTTTAAATTAACAACATATTTGTTCATATAATTAACAGTACATGCTTTGGTAATTAGCTTTTCGTCTTCTTAGCTTACATTAGAGTATTATTTTGAAATACTTTTAATTACATGCATTGTCACTCGCGCTCTCATTCATTATTTAATGTTATAAACTAATAATAACAATTGTCATCTTAAATTAAGTTATAAAATTACTTTATAAAAGTTACTCTTATCCAGTTAACTTAAGTTACTTTACAAACTTATTAGACTATTAATAAGCACGACGAGGATGTTGTTTTATTAGTGAAACGACGTGCACGTGGTTTGTTTGTTAAATTAACAGGTCTGCTATTTACAACTTGTTCATTAACGAGCTAACTAAATGGCACAGCCTTCTTCAAAACCGGTCTACTTCCGTCTCCGGTGGTTTTTCTCTTCTAGTTTGTTATCAATTTTCATAATGTCGTTGTAATTTATGTATCATATTCCAAAGCGAAGTTCATCTTCGAAAATTGAACGATGCAATCTCGTTCGTAAAAATTTCTTCCTCGAATACGAAGAAGATAAGAATACTGATTTTCTGATTCTCTTTTTCCGTCGATATTACTGCATGCTTTCACTTTGTCGAATTTCTTATGAAGCTGGGAGAAACAAATTTCATGAAACATCCTCCAATGAAATTACCATAAATGCACAATTAAACGAATCGTTTGAAGAAACGTGTTTCGTCGGTGGAATGCGAATGTCGCGTCCTTTTGCTTTCCAAATCATTGTCCTCTTGGTTGTCGGGTTGTCAACAACACAGGCGATATCCTGAACGATTCAAAAGCCGTTTCTACGACTGTATACGTTTCTGGCACGCTGCTTGTACGCTAATTGTTGTCTGTACACGAACAGTGGTCGAAAAGCGAAATTACCAGCCGCAGTTTCAAGATCATCTTCCTTCGTTTCTCGTTTTTCGATTAATTTCGCGGTGTTGTCTGCTTCGTCCAATTTATTCAGAATAAGAGCATAAAGCATCGGGGATGAACCGACGCGTGATTCGTTGTTGGGTGACTCTTCGACGACAAATGGAAGTATGGTTAGAGGACCCAGTTTGCTGTCCGGCTTGACCGGAAGTGCAATGGCGGAGACGAAGAGTGTCAGAAAGAAGACAGCTGCGAGAGTCTGGAAAAAAGATAACATTTTGATGAATATTTTGAGACTTATATTAATTTATTACATTTTTTATTTCAACGTTTAAATGTTTTTTAGTATTCTACTCTACAATTTCACTGTGTTACTACCATTCTACTACTTTGCAAGTCTATTTTACTTCAACTATACTACTTCTTTATTAATCTACTATTCTACTGTTTCGCTGTACTATTGTTTTACAATCCTAATATTTTATTATTTTACTCTAACATCATTTGACTTTTTAACACCATTTAACATTTGACTATTTTAGTACTGTATAGTGGATCAATTGGACAGTAGAATAGTGCGATTATAGTGCAATGCTTTGATAACCTCAATTGTTACACCCTCTGACTCAGAGACCTCACAAATATTCACACGATCAAAAAATACCACCTTTATTATCAATATTAATTATTAATTAACTTGCACAATATTGAACAAACGAATTAATCAATATTGCACAATATTACCACTAATATCACCAGCATTATAATATTAGCGATACTAAATCTGCTCCACGAATTTCAGGAAGAACCTTACCATCTTTGCGTCAAGTTAATCCCTCGAAGGCCGATTAAGGATGAGATTGCAGTTTGAAATATCTTCTCGCGAGTTATGGTGCCGAATGGACAAAATATCCAGGAAAGAAGTATCTTCGAAGAACTTTTAAAGACCACGATGTACCAACAGGAGCTGTTAGATTCGCGGAACTGCTCGATGGCAACTTTGTGCCTGGCAGTGCATCCTTCCAGCATTTTATACGAAACAATGACGTCAAACGGGACCACGCTAATCGTATAGTGACGTATCGTGTTAGGTGTTAACTGACCTGGTAAACCAGAAACATCCATGGATACTATGTAGTCTTCTTTTTTTCATCTATGACCCCGAGATCACAAGATGCAAAAGGGGGTACGCGCATATCTGACGTAGTTCACGTCCACGTCAGTTGCACCAAACATACTGAAACTTGGTAATTAGTTGAACGTAAAAAATTGTACTGTATTTACGGCTGATGAGTTAGTTCCTTAGAATAGATCACCGATGTAGTACACCTTTAATGTTTCATCGCGAGAAGACGATACTGCGCAATTTACACGTAAACGATTTATTATTCAATTCATTGTATCTGGTTAATGATTAGTAGATTTTTGCAAAGTTCTGTATCGGTATGGATTAGGTAATATCAATTAAATTGTATAACAGATTGCAAATGATTCTTTATAATTTTGACGCGAAACCCGTCGATGAATTTTGTAAAGTTCTTTTAAATTACGCGCGCGCGAGAGCTTCTTTTAATTAACGATTGCATCGAGTGTTAATTTATCGTGTTCGATAATTGAAGAGCGACTTGTACATTCAAAGACTAGAGACAATTCTTCCTGTATGGATGAATAGTTTTCTATGTGCCATGCAGGAAGAATTTCTATCCACAGAATAATACCAGAAATAATTTAGCACAGAAAATAATTTTTAACAAGAACATTTAAAGAGTAGATTCCGGGTATCCACAAGAAATAATAGTATAAGTGAGTTGACAAGAAAAGAATTTCTAAGTTATGTTTGCAGTTTCTCAATGAGAAGGCACTTCAAGATCGCGATGCTTTTCAAACATATTCCTGTGACATTCAACCGAAGCAATCGATCAAAAATGATCCTACGATGAAACAACGTGATCATGCAATGAATTACGAAGTTCTAAAGAAAGGATTTGCTGAAGGTTTTCCACGCAATTCTCTCTTCCGTCGAGAGAGTGTCTTCGAGATAAGGAGAGGAATCGCAAAAAAGTATATCGTGCATCGTCGGTTTTCGAAAGTATCAAATGTTGCATCAAGGTGTGTACCAAACAAAATCGATTTATTTTCAGTTAATCATTCGTATCTTGAATAAATAATAAAGCCGTTCGCTTTTCTACGAGGTGTTCGTGTAAAAACGAATCGAGGAACAAAAGACCGTTTCCTCTTTTCTTTTTTTTTTTGTTTTTGGTTCTTTTTTCGGTCATGTACGCGGGTGTATTTTTGTGTGAGCGTGTGCTTTTTCGTTCGAGGTAACACGATCTTGTCACGCGACTCTTAGGATCTATTAGATCTCAGGCTTGGCCTCCTCGGTTTCGCTGCTTTCGGTAGTAGTAGTAGTTTCGCTTTTAGATCTGAAAGAAATCACCAGATGAGGGTATTTCGTGGCTGCTGGGAAGAAGTATGATAATACTTAACGCGTTCGCTACGAACTCGGAATAAAAATCGATTATACACCGCAATGTACAATGTTCGTAACGCGAGCACGCGATATTGCATAACCGTACATTTAGAACTAGTAGGGTGTATGGTAACATCGAGTGAACTGCAGCGAACGCATTAACAAAACGGTTAGTAGTATTAGGAGGTTGCATTATGTTTCAAGATTGGTCGTAACTGACCAACTATCAAACACTGAACTTCGAATTGATCTTACACATTTGCAATACGTGCAGTTTTATATTATTAAACTGCGTCACGCTTCCTATTACTGAACTCTATATGCGCAATTTAGCATGCAACAACCTAATATCATTGTTAAAATACCAGGTCTCTGAGGTCAGAGGTGATCAGACACGGATACATTGAAGAACACTGAGGTAACATAGTTGCATGAACAAATAAATTTTTATAAGTATAAACATGTCTGTAGGTTGAATCGTAATTGATTGATTCATGTAATTAAATTGAAATGTGGATTCTAGTCTACATTAGAAGAGGACCTCCTTGAGAAAAATGCAAATGAGCAAACTCTACTACTCATTAGTTTATAATTCATCAATTTTCAAAATTCAAATCAAGATATTACATTATACCATTAACTTATTAACCACTCATTGTACCAATGTATCCGCTGGCTTAGAATCTCAGGATTGAGACAGACATTAGAATTATTAGGTGAAAGTCAGGGGCGGATGGAGCGATCGACATGCTTCATGATATTAAATCTACACAAAAAATGCTATAGCTTCTGAATCATTCCTCTAAATTTGTAATTAAAGAAAATGTATCATGTATTACTTATAAATTTAATAAGCATGAAACAGTCGTTCGATCGCGTTAGTTAAAACAGGGGGATAGAGTGGAATAAAAAAAAGTTGGAAAGTACGAAAAAATCCTTTCCTGTATTGATCGATCTAAATATGCAATCGGGGAACTTCGTCTACGAGTCTTTCTACATTTTGCGAGTTAAAAAAAAAAGAAGAATGTATGCGTCGTGAGGGCATCGATGTCACCGCACGTTTCATTGTTCCTTTTTTTTTCTCTTTCTCGCTCGCTCTCTCTCCCTCTCTCTCTTTCTGGTTCGTGTAAATAACATTGTATTACATGCAAATCGTTCATTATTCTATCCATAGTTACTTCGATTTGGATCTATTCTTTCTCTAACGGGTGAAGAAGCGAAATGATGTTCTATATAAATTGTCGATTATTTTTTAAAGAGATCGCTCTCTTGCATCAAATTTAAAATGGTTGCTTTCAGTTCACTTCTTTCGCCCCTTCGTTTCTATGTCCTTTCTCACTAAATTCTACCGCTCGCGTTCAGCTGTTACATTTCAAACACCGCATCCGATACGCTTCTACGACGCTACAATTTTGCGAGTATAGTTTACTGTGCTTAAGTCGAGTCGCAGGAGATGCAATTTGACTTCGTAGAGAAGTAACTTTCCTATCGTTGCTTATTTCTTATTCGAACTCTGCCAAAAGCCGAATCTGACACTTTCGATCTTTGTTTTTCTTTCATTCAGATTTTCCTTGTTTTTCATTCCTATTTCAGGTTTCGCTTCTCGCACGCGCAACTCGTCCTTAGCTCTTTAGGTAAATCTGCCTGCCGCTAATTGTCGATCGAACCAACAGGACATACGGTTTAAATTCTGTATTCCACAGAATATGTATACTTGGCGGAAGATAAGTGAATTTCACGTTTGCTAAACTTATAAATTTTCAAATTTATCCGAACTCAGATTTACCATCTTTGAAATTTTGAAATTTCCAAATTTTAGGAAATTTAGAATTCTCAGATTTTAAGAATCATAGCAGCTTATTTCCCCTTATATGGTCCATTCTTCCCTTTTACATGCCCATGGCCATATAGCAGGACTCCACTGTGCCAGTTTTCACATTCTAATTAATACATGATATATCGCATGATAAAAATGATAAATCTGAGGTATAAAGTACTAACAATTTCACCCTATTTCTTCCACCAAATATACATTGCATCGATGAACCCTATGTAACTCGCTTTAAAAAAAGTTCTCTCTATTTTGATAAATAATCGCTATCCAAATAAAATACACCCAGTGATTCGATCGTTGGGCAAATACGTGATAATAGACTTACTGGAACGATAATATCTATCAACATATAATAATATGTATGTATGTATGTTATGTATGTATGTAATGTATATTGTCGGATGGTAAAGGATTCACTTGCTCGATGGCTACGCTCTTCCAAAAGGCGAGGGTTCGCGTACGTTATTGTAATTATTAACGCTATTATCGGTCGTATTCTCAATATGGTTCCCTTTCGATCCCTTCCTTTTGTTTCGTACGAGTAGGCACTTAGCTATGTTTCTGCGGTTCCTTGTAGTTAGAACGCTAGTTGAACGTGTCTATTGTACACGAGACGGAGAGAATATATACCAGGATGAAAAGAACAGAAACTGCTTGTACAAAAGCCTCCCCTCTTCGTTTTCTTCTTTTTTTCCCTTTTACGTTCGATTTCTTCTTTCGGAACAGTCACACTCCTCTCTTACTCTTCTTTGTATATTACGCTCATTTTCTCTCTCTCTCTCTTTCGCTCTCTCTTTCTCTCCCTCTCTCGCTCACTCGCTCGAGTAATGTTCATAAGATATCTGACGATCGTTATTCTTTAAAATGTTTCTTCTCTTCTTTCATTCTCTATGGTTACGTTCGCTCTCTCACGCATGCAAACGTATCAAAGCGTGTCTTATATATATCATATGCTTTTTTCCCTTTTCGTCTTTCTTTTCGTTTTCTGGAACTTTTGTTAGCACCGTGTCTTTCGTGGATTCTAGTTCTTGAGAATAAGCTTTTCTCTCGCACGCACTCTCGTTCTATCGCACTCATTCTCGTCAGGAAGTTTCCGATGATAAACGACAAGGGAGTTCCCGGGTTAATGAATGATTGTCGTTCAACCTGTGATTACCATTGGCGTAACTGTATGTTTCGTTTGAAAGTGTCCCTTAAATTTACTGTTAGCGTTGTCACTTGAGGATTTTGAAATTTATAAAGTTGGTCATTTGCAAAAGTGCAGTATTGGACTTGTACAAATTTGGACCCTTTAAAAACTGGAAATTTAGAAATTTGAGAATGTGAATATCTAAAAATCTATAATTTCAGGAATTTCTAAATTCCTAGTCTAAAGTCTATGAGCCCCCTTATTTGTTACGCCAATGACCAGGCGAACGAACGCTTGAAATTAAAGAATCTCTGGGCAAACTCGTGCATCCACCTTCATTACGAACGAACGTCTCTTATGAAAGACTAGCCACGAACAAATTTCATTCTGTAATTGACTCTTCGACGATGTTGGCTTCAACTGTTGGAGGCTTCCTATTTCACGCTGTGTCTTTTTTGGAATGTGACTTTTGTTTCTTTTCTTTCTGAAGACACATTAATACTATCTTCGAACATCCATACAGCAATCTAAGGACACAGAGATATTGAGAATTCCAAGTATTTTCATAAACTCAAATAGAACATGCAGTTCTACTCAATTTGAAAGATTACACTTGTGATGTATCAATGTGAAGTTTAAAGTAAGATGAGAATAACTGCATAAGCTTTATCAGTTTCTTTGATATAAAACAGCTGATTCGCTAGAACAATGAATCAATTTCAAATAATTTCATCGAATGTCTCAACGAAGGACCAGCCACTTTATATTGAGAATACGATGAGGCATTTGTACGATCATTTTTCACAAACCTTAAACTTCAAACTGATATGTCATAAGTATTATTTTGTACTACTTTTACGTCATCAATTTATATCAGACTTTCTACTCAAGTTCTAATCCAAAACCAATTGATACTCAACCGTCTAATGGTTTTAAAGTTCTACTTGAGCTATTTTTATCCTCAGAATCCTAAATCCAACAATGCAATCTAGAAATGCAGATATTAGTTTACCAGAACATTTGATAAACAAGATATTTCCGCAGCGCTTCAATTTCTCAATACGTCCTTTGTACTGAATCCAACTACTGCATGGATGAAATGTTTATTCCAACATCTGGAAGCCTCTCAACAGTTTCAACCGCAAGAATCCAATTATCCTTGCGACATCCTGAAGATATTTCAACGGCAACGGTGTGTCTCTAAAAAGCAAAATATAAAAAATAGCGAATTTGTTGATTTCTGTAGGAACGCTAGCATCTCTCTTTCGTTGAACGAGATCGCTCTAAATGAAGGCACGTACACGCGTTGTTGTTGTTCCCCTCTGTTCAGAGGCATAACGATCGTGACCTTTATCCTTTTTCGCACCTTCTTCGAATGCTAGTTGCTCGATTCACGCTCGAACGCTTCTCTAGTTACACAAACATAATCTAGACCAGAGATTCCTAAAATATGGGTCGCATTAGACATTCATATTTTGAATGAAATTGGAACTTACAAATTTTTTAATTTTGAAATTGGACTTTCAAGATTTTTAAATTTGGGATTTTGAATTATAGAACTTAGGACTTCAGAGTTTTTTAAATTTGGAACTTGGAAAATTACTGTATCCAAAAGTGAGTCTGTACCCATAGAAGTTTAGGAAGTCCTGGTGTAGATAAAAAATCAGGTAACAAGATATACAATCGGTGCATACACAGGTGAACAACTGTACCCCACGACAAAATACTGTATTAAATTCGAACACGTTAACATTACTTCGAGCGGGAACATAGTATCTCTAAGATAATGCGTGAATGAATTACACGGACGCATATTAATGCAATAACACGTACCCGAAATGTCTCGTTTTAAGATCGTATTCCAATTTAGAGCTAACGACGTACAAAAAGGTACAAAATACGTCTGCTCATCACGCACATTTCCTTTTTCGAAGAAATTGAAACGCAAACTGCATCATCACTTATTTTTTGTTTCTTTTGGAACACGATCTGACAAGTCTTCTTTTCTCAAATTTTTCATGATCGTGACTTACGTAAAAGCTCGACCTAAAGAGTACAAGTTTAACTTTTTTTTTGCTGACTTTTTTTCTTATTTTTTGTTCAACTTTGCTTCTCCTAGAAGCAACTAGACGTATATTCAGTCTTTCCATGATGCTCAATGTATGCTTAAACAGTTTACCATTGAGCAAGTCAGTTGGAGTTAGCATATTAGAAATTGGCTCTTTTAACCCCCTGTTTCAGTTCCGCTGCGAAAGCAGAGTCACCTGAGCTCTGTTAAGTATCTTACAGGCTACTCGCTAAAAAGCTCAGCTGATTGACACACAGGAACATGCTCTAATGAGGGGTTAAAAGCGTACAAAATAAAATTTACTAACGCAACCATGACACGGTTCATGAATTCAACATGATCTGAATCAGAATCAGTTTTTGATATCAACTTTGATACACCAAGCTCAGGTTGCGTAGAAAATATCAACGTATGATGAACAATATCAAGTACCTTTCGATCAAACCAGTAGAATTATCACCAATAATTCTATGGATTGCTCATCTTTAAGAATGCGAGGAAGTTCCTACGAATCATCAGCTAACTCCTAAGAATTAGTCGATATGGTGCTTGATACTTGAAACATTGGTGTTCGTAGTAACAAGGCTAATATCAGAAATTGATTCGAAGCTCTACGTATCTTCTTATGCATGGCATACAAAATTGTTGTTGGCTTCTTATTGTTTGGCACCTACTACTTCATCACAAAAATTAACAGACAAATAATATGCAGTCGCGTAAGAACAGTGTGATGAGCACAGCATAGCAAATTGATTATTTTAAAGTCGTTGCTAATTACTTGAATACGTTGCGAAATTCGATATTATTAGTCTTCCGTATACCAGGCATGTTCTCGTGTAACAAAAAAAATCCTTAAAAAGGACTCGTGTGAAATATTACCAAGTACACAGAATGCAAGGCACAAGTTGCCATTTAAACGAAATATCTCGGTGATCTGCGTTTGTTCATAGAAGAGAGAAAGTCAGAAGTTAGTTTTTATTTACCAATAGCCCAAGGAACAAGTTCTAAACGAAATCAATGATTCTAAATAAACAACATCGATTCGTCTAAAAAATGGGCCATGGTACGTCACAAACATGACCTATGCTAATTCTAACAATGATTTCACCTGGTCGTGAACGTTCTATAGAAGAATGGACTCTACGTCGATGGGCAAGTTATTCATAAAAAACATTTACATGGTATACTATAATTAAGATTGTTAACATTTTCTCTACGCCTATCACGAATATACTCGTCAGATTCTAGTAAGGGAATCGGGTGCTTATTAACTCTAGGAGAATGATTTTGGTACCCTGGATAATTACTAACAGTAAGACTAATTTATTTGAAAATTATTCACTGAAAAAAATGATGAAAGAGACGAGTCTCTTTTCTCCTTAAACTGATTGTTAGAATTTAATATTAAATTACTGAATTAAATAGAAATCAAGTAGAAATGAATGATAAATAAAAAAAGTACTATATCTATTTAAATGTTCAAAAATAAAAAAAAGGCAAATTAATACTTGCGTTCGTGTTTCGATTATCACTCTGAAAGTAAATAACTGATTTCACTTACTGGAACGTTATGCACCCATCTGATGTGTAATACCTAACATATATGAGAGCCTACAGTTCTTACAATATACGAATAAGAAGACATTGATTCATCTTCTATATTAGATTTTTACACGTGCTTTTTTTCTTTCTAATTTACAAGACACAATTATTAACATTCTCTAACAAATAAAAAAGATATTCTGTACTTTTGTAATTAGGATAAAAAAAAGCTACACGGTAAAAATCTAACTCAATGTGCTTCTTATTCTAACTGGAAATACGATTACCAAAGAATCTACTCACTTCGTAAACTGCCAGTTTCAAGGGAACCTAATCAATGGATTTTCAAAAGAATGTGTACTTTCTAGTATTCTACATACTCATTGAGTGAATCACAATATAAAAATACAAATTGAATATTTCCGCCTTTCCTTCGTACTCCGTCGTCATAAATGTACCCATTTCTTTTCCTCTTTTTTTTTTTCGTTTTTCGTTTGTAGCTTCCTTGTCGTGCAACAATGTCCTTTACAAATGCACTTTGTTAGAATAAGTTACTTCTCTTTAACGTTTCTTTGTTATCTGGTGTCTCTCCGTCTGCCAACTTAATAGTCTCTTACTGATACAATGTTTCGTGATGACTGTTTCGCATCAAATTACGTAACATCGAATACTTCTCCCTAGTTAATTACTTTTTCGAATCAATGGCAATCAATGACGTGTGCAATGAAACTGTTAAATATCTCATGATGAAAGTAACTATTCTTGAATGTGCGAATCACCTAGTATCACTGATAACGCGAAGGTCCATGTACACGTGTGACATAGAAACAATTGTGTCCTAACCACGCATATACAAATAGCCACAGATTGCTATAATACCCCCACCAACAATTGCGGCGCCTATGCCTATTGAAAGGGGCTTAAATAATGACCTCTTGAGTTTCTGCCATTCTTCCGTTTCCTTTTGTCGACGTTTCATCTCCCGTACTTGTGCTGCCAAACGTTCCTTCTTCTCTTTATTACGGTGACGTACTTCGTTTTTCCTATAAGTAGAAAATAAACATTATTAAGAAAGTCGGTGTTGAAATATCTAAGCCTAAGTTATTTTAAAATATCTCATTTTAAAGTAACTTACGAATCAGGACTGGACGGAGGACTAATTGTTTGTAAAGAATTTTCACCGTCACTGGTGTTTTCATTAGGCACTACAACACCATCAGAGTTCTTTTCATGCAAGTTATTTGTAATTACTGTAGAATTCACAATCGGTGAAGTAGTGGTTGTTTCTGTAGGAACCAATGGTTCTCTAGGTAGTGGTTTATCGGGAGGTCCACCCAATTCATCTGACATTAAACACGAAAATGTTATATTTTGAAAATTATTTAACTTCATGCTAATTCTTACCATTTTTAGTTCCTGGATTTGAAGTTAAATCTGCCATCATGCTACGTGTTAAAGATTCACCTCTTGGAGGAGGCAAAGGAGGTGGTTCATCTTCTTCTTCTACCACAGAATTATTGAGATTACTTACCACATCATAATGATTTGTTACCACTTCGTTATTAATGTTCTGTAAATTGCACAAAAATTAGTGAAAATCAAAGGTTATAACAGACCACAGCAGTACAATGTTATTATGGTTAATTTAAATCAAAGACAATTTTTACAACATAATAGATGTATAATTATACATTCAAAAATCTTTTGGACAAATTAAATAGATTAATAACATTGTACCACTGTGAATTGGTATTAGTTACCACGTTGTTAGACAGTAATTGTTTTGCTCCTTCAATGATAGCGGCATATGAAAATCTTAGTTGACCCGGCGTTTGGATTAAACCCATTCTATATCTTCTCATTTCTATCAAGACATCTCTAACATTTACAGAATTCAAACCATTTTCTTCAATCTGTAATTAAGCAAAGAGTAAATCGGTTTTTTTTCCTTAAACTTTCACTTTTTCCTCAAGGTAAAAGCAATACTTACCAAAATAAGACATGTGTCAACTAAACAGAATGTTCCGGATCTTCCAATTCCTGCAGAACAATGCACCACAGGAGGTCCAACATTTTGATCTAATGCACCTGATTGCCTAACAGTGGTTAAGAAAGATAAAAATGCTGTTGGACTTTGTGGCACTCCAAAATCTGGCCAAGTAGTATAATGAAAATGTAATATTTCTCTACTTTCATTTGTTTCCAAGTCAGTTAATCTGTATAAAATATAAATACAGTATTAAATATATTTTCACACATGTTTTTTGTATGACAAGCAATTTTTGCACTTTAATTCCTTATTTTTTCCATACTTTAATACTCTAGTTGTATAATCCGATGATTCTGTTTTGCTGATATACGTTACTTTTATACCAACATCCGCAAACATCATAGTATTATTCTCTGAATCACCAAGAGGCCAATACTGATAACACTTAACGTGATTCTTTTCAATTATTTTATTTAACATTAACACGGCTTTAGAATTTTGCTCCCATACCATTAGCCAAAAGTGGCCAGCAGTATTTTCCAATGGTCCTTGAGTAAGGATGTATTGTCTGTGAGCACGATCTACCTACAATAAAAGCAAACTTATTATCACATTCATTTTAAATATATTAGATGAGTACTAATGTATTCACAAATATATAAATATTAATGGTGTAATAATTACACATTTTAATGTAATAGTTACCCGTATGAGGTTAGCATTAATATAATCACATGGACCCCTCTTAAGGATGATCCTACTATGGTCGTATGGCAAAACATCTCTGTAACGGTTTAAATTTTTGTTCTGTGGCTTCCTCGATTCATTATATGTATACGAGAAATTGCTGCATTCGTTACGTATGTGCTGTAAAAGTAACATTCAATGTATCACTTTGTCACAAGATATTTATAATGATAATTTTTATTATCTAGTATAAATTTTATTTAATACCTAATAGACAAATGTCAAATGCCTATTTATTAATACAAATAAAACCGCTAAATATATACCTGGCATGTATATTTTAAATCAAGACATTTGACCTTGACTACAGAATCACAACACATACTCTACGTTGCGTTCAACATTTTTCTGTGAAAATCGCTTTCCAGGAAAGTAAGACGATACCCAGAAATTAAGAAACAATCCATGCATTGTACAGAGATAAAAAAATAAATGCCGCTGAACTTCCCACTCATTATCGTATCGAATCGCATCATTACGTAGTATATCGAATTTAACCATAGGACATAATCGAATACGTTATCGAGTAAAAGAAATTTTACGAAGGAAGTTGAACGACTGTACGATAAATAAATCAAACAGCGATAGTAGTTGTGACATACACGCTGCACAGGTCTCTCATTCAACGAGACCGTTAAAAATTCACCAGCGTACCGCGAGATCTCGCGACAGATGATAACACGCGTGTCCACGTTACATACAACAAACGTTACACGAAAAGAACGTGAATTGATCGTTATTCAAACGATTAACATTCGTGTCAGCGTGAAACAATTTGCAGTGCGGTTGCGTTCTGACACATTCGCCCGAGAAACCGGACGTAAAGACGCAAACACGGAAGACGGAAAGGGCAAATTATGTACCTGATACAGGATCGGCCAGGCATCTTTCGAGTTGATCTCGAGGTATTCAGTTTCCACGTTGCTGATCCCCTGCTCGCACGTCTCCTGACTGGTCATTCTGTCGGCTCGTTCGCGACTCGGTCTCTCCGGCGCTCGAAAACTGCAAAACGAGACGCAGCACGCGAAGAGGCTGGGCCCCGGCCGCGCACGATCTTGCTCTCTCTGTCTCCGAGAAAAAGGCGTCTCAGGCACGAAGCGGTGCCATGCGTGAAGCGGATTCTTGCGAAGGGCAGCCCCCGCCGCACGGGAGCAGAAAACGCGCAACCACAGCGTTCAAGATTGTACGTACACCACCACTCTCTACCGTGCTAACTGACTGCACCACTCACGGACCCAACCACCACCGATCACCTTCGCCGCCACTGCTGGCTACTACAAGCGCGAAATACGAGCCAACGTGCTGACATCTTCGGGTAACCAGACTTTCTTTCCTTCTCTTATTCTCTTGTATCTTTTTCCTTCTTTACCACCAAATGGGATCAAAGCATGGGACTAGGTAAGTATAGGCATGTGATATGAGACATGTATAGGCAACTTGAAAGAGAGAAGTAAATGAACGAGAAGGAAACAACTATGGAAGGGACATTCTCTTGTACTCCATCTTAGCGGGAAATTTGAATGAAAATTATTTTTCTGCATAAATAAAATAATGAACAGATAGTGTAAATATTTTTATTTACTGATTAAACTTTATTAGAGAATTATTTCTTGTCATTCATAAAACCATTTCAAAATTATTTCATTACTGTAACTTGAGATAACTTATGTAAAAACGAAAATAAAAATACTATCTGAAAAGTATTCACCATGAAGAAGTTTATTTTAGGTTTACAAAGGATAAAAGGAAATCCATTTTATTCTTCTATAACGATTGTTTATACGTAAGATAAATTTATAACTTAATACTAAATAAAATATATGTATATAGTACTTTATATACCTATAATGTGGAGATCTAATAGAATTTAATCTTATTACTTATATATGTGTTATAAAAGATTTAATACAAAAATATAAAAACTTCATAACTTAAGCAAATAAATATAAATATTTTAAAATCAATGTCGGGAATGTTTATACTGTGTAGGTACATGTACTGTTTTGATAATAAAAGCTCCCTCAATATTGAATTTAACATTTTTCCCAAAGAAAATCAAGTTTCCTTTGCACTTTTTGAAGGAACTTCATCATTTTCTTCAGTTCCAGTACTCTTTCTTTTGCTTGATTCTGTAGACCCCTTTTTCAGCCAGGAAGCCATAAGACTAGAAGGGTTGTTCTTTTTTTCTTCTCTGTACATAATAGAATTAGTAAATCAATAGCTTGACATGTCTCTCTATGGGATTACCAGTTCATAATTCCAGTAGTACAGCGTTAATTATGTGAAACTGTATGTATGTATACGTACATAGGCTTTGTCTCTCTATGGCAATTGTCACTTTTACATAATACATTGTTTACAAGAGTCGACACTGTATGCCAACTTAAATCGTTGTGCGATAACGTTAAGCTGTTTAATTTATCAACAGCATCACCTACTGACAATTCCTCGTTCAACCAAATCTAATACAATAAAATTTGCATTTATCAAATGCTCAAATGATATTCGAAAATATTATTGCATTTCTATATTAGTATTTTTACCTCTGTATCTTGCTCTGTATTTATAAACACAGGTACACGATCATGTAACCAAGACATGACATCGTTTGAATTTGTTGTTACTATGGTACAACTGTGTATCGTTTTACCCTAAAATATAATTCTTCTGTAATTTTTTGTTAAAATAAATCTAAGGATTTAATGTTATGCATTTACATCTCCAGTTTTGAATATATTAAACAATCCTGCCATTTTGAGAACTTTAAATCCCTGCCAACCCGATTCTTCTGACCACTCATCTTTCCACGTTGTAGGATCATCTGTTTTTACACCTTCTTTTTGAGTAGCATAAATGTAATATGGCTGCTTAGGATCTTTTTTTGTTTTCCCAGTTTTCCATTCGTAGAATCCTTCACATACTACGATGCATCTCTGTCCTTTACGAAGGGGTGGACCATATAATTTGGAACTCTTTATATTTTCCAAGCGTGCATTATGTGTTGACAAGTTAAATTTCCTATAATCACCCTATTAAATTTAAAATATCTTTTATCATCCATATATCAATAAAAGTGAATGGCAGCATATTGTTATCTACTAACATGATATACCACACGTTATCATGTTTATGTATGATCAAGAGCTATTTGCATCTATACATTCATTTGCAAATGAAAACATGAGTTGATATAAGTGTTTTGTTATAAATTCATTATTTAGAGAAGAGTTGATTTGAAGATAAAAATATTACCTTTTGAGTTATCAGAGTAATGAAAGATATTAGAAAGATATAGTGCTACTTTATAAGTGTTATTATATAAAAAAATCGATTTCTGAAAAATTATCACATGACATCTTTATCCTAATCATGTTTTCAATTAGATTTCAACCACGTGAGCGTCCCCCACTCGTAAAACGTCATTCAACCTAACCTTGTTTGTAAACACTGACCTCGTGCCAAGGGGGAATCATACTCCAAAACATAGCACAAAGAACTCTTTCTTCTTCTGTGTCAAAATGCGAGCCAGCAACGAGACATGGAAGAACTCCCTTTGGACCAATATTGCATGATGGAGTATATTGAACATCATTTTTGGCCCATGAGGTTATGCATTGTTTGCCATTAGCGTCCTTATAACCGCAACAACGACTCAAAGTGTCTGGGTTCAGGGAACTGTAAAATGATTCACAGATTTTCTCCGTTGATCAAAGAATATGATGTTTGCGTGTCACGAATTAATTAGTGAAATTAGGTGATCGGATTACTTACCAAGCAGCTCGACCACACATATTTCTCGAATCACTTAAACAATTTTGAAGTATTAATTGATATGTACTCCTATTCCTCGTTTATGAATTATATTTGCAACTAATGTATTATTTATTTCGACGTAAACTATGCTTAATTTTCGTATATTCAGGCTTATACCAACTTAAGTATGTATACTAATAGGTATCAGATTAAATTTTATATACATAAGTCCATACATCATTTCACATAAGATCATATTTATTTTGCGCAGCTAAACTAAATATCAGAGTCTGCCCAGCATAAATGTGGTGTCTCTCTATCACTTGTTTCTTATTTTATGGTTATACACTCTGTGGATAAAAATTTGTGTATAAGGAAAAGGGCAAAGAAGAAATTATGTAGAACAAATTTAATAATGTGGCATAACTGATATTTGGCTACAATCAAATCTCTACATCCCCAAATTCAAGTATTTTCATATCTTACACTTGTTACATGTTCACGGTGATGTCTGTTGTCATGATTTTGAAAATAAAAGATCACCGAGTATATAAGTTTGGCATCACTTAAGTCGGAATGCGCATGCGAGTTGCTTTTGCTTGAACCAATTAGAATTAACATGCGCGAAATGAATGAAAACTTGTTATTAGATGTTTATGGTCTTTTGTTAAACAGAGTATACAAAATACGTAAATGATCTAAAACATATCTAGTCTATGGAAGTACGTTAATATACTGTTGGTAACAGTGTCTAACAAAAGTTTAAATTTGTGTTGCATCTGATCGGTATCAGAAACTTACATATAATTAAAAAATTATGTTTTTGTGCCGACTGTGTTAATGATACTATTGTGATAAAGATAATGGATGATATACTGTCTTTTAAAGAGAAGCATATAAAAGTTTCGAATTCACAAATTAATGATCTGTTGCAAAAGCAAGTTAAACTAATTGATGATGTCAAATATAAACAAGATCATCAGTGCAATGGTAATTAATTATAGTGTAGTTTACATTTTATTGTACATACAGACATAAAGACATTATTATTTTTAGAAAATGAGGCAAAGATTCAAGAGCTAATATTAAAAGTAGCTTCAATGAAGGAAGATCTTCGACATGAGAAACAAGCATTGGAATACAAGAATCATGATTTATCCAAACATTTAGGCTATATAGTAAGTATTAAGATTTGTTACATTGTTTATTTCATTAATAATAAAAAATTAATGCATATATATTTAAAGGTAGAATTAATGGCAGAAAAGAAGAAATTTTTAGAAGAAAATCAATCATTGGAATTAGAAAGAAATAAATTAAAAAATTGTAAGCGGAATATAAGGGATCAAGAATTATTGAATCTTGGCAGGTTCGTAATTTAATGTTTAACATTTAGGTTGTTAACAATTGTTGTACATTAATATTTCTATTATTATAATTACAGGAGAAAGTTTTCATTGTACAGAAAATTAACTAGAATACGGTGGGATTATGAGAAGCTTGAACAATTTGTTATAGGTTGTATCCTTTCTATAATGTAAAAACTATATTTCATTCTAACATATTTTTAATTACATTAATTATAAAATGTCCTCAATTGTGATATTAGATGTGACAGATAAAAAAAAATACGTTCATCATTTTTGCTATAAAAATGAAAATATGACAGATATACATAATCTTCTGTGGCAAGAAATATACCAGTCGACAATTGAAACAGAAAATAAAGAAAACAAGGAAGAAAATATGATATAAATAAGTGTAATATGTATATTTAACATTAAAGATGAATTTCTTATGTTTATAAAAAACCACTGCAGACTATTTATTAATTATTAGAATTATAATACTATTAAGCTATATTTTAATAAAGATTTATATGAAATTTTAAAAAATGGGGTATTTTAAGTTACTATATTTTAGGTAAAATGAAATCTACTCCATCCAATGAGAGAATATACCCAATCGCGCAACTTGGGTAACTTCGATGAGCCTGCCGCCCTTATTACTTTTCAATTACTATACAGTTTTGTGTATATACATGGTGGACAAAAATATGTGAATAAATAATAGAACTGATAGTATAGAGAGTATACAAAATAAAAGATCACTGAATATATACAATCGGTACCATCGACATCGTACTCAGTGTTGGGCAGTCGTGAGATTTCATCGCACGCGAGAGCTTTCTGCGCATGCGTCAGCTGACGTCACAGCTTGCTGCCAATGCCGTACCTAGCCGGTACACGCAGTGGTGACTGATGAGGGCACCTAAATGATCCTACATAATTTTTCAAAAATTCTTATAATTGCACCGTAAACTATGAATGTATAGGTTGGGTTAGATTACATTAGGCTGGGTTAGGTTAGTTATATATATGACTGTATAAAACTATACAACTATATATA